TGTCTGCCTCACACTGCAGGCAGGTGTCTGGGTGGGAAATTGGACACCCCTGTCAGACAGAGTTTCCTGCACTGTCTTGCTCTCGTCTGCCAGCCAGGCCCAGGTCACTCCATAAGGCGGATGTGGGGAACAGCTGGTGTCTATACAGACAAATAAGGGAGGGAGAATGAAGGGAGCAGACAGCCATCATGCTGGGCCAAGGCATCACAGAGGCCCTAGCCCTGGGAACCAGGAAGAAATTTAGGTGGAAACTGGCAAGAAGAAAGACTGGTAGAAGATGCTAAGTACTTAACACTGGGCCTGGAGTTCATGGCAAGAACTCCATTCCAAGAGGTCTATGAAGCAAGAAGGTCACCTGCAAGGGGCAAGACACAAGACACAAGAAGCTTGGGCAAGACACAAGCCCACTGCAAAAGGATGTTCCAAGGGGTTAAAGGCAGGTTCTGTGTGGCCTAAATTCTCTAGGTTTGCATCTTAGCTGTACCACTTGCTAGCTGTGTGAACTTAACCCTTCTAAGCCTCAGTTTCATCATCTACAGAATGAGGATTAAAAAGATAACACCTCGGGCCAGCCATGGTGGCTCACATCTGTAATCCCAGCATTTTGGGATGCTGAGGGTGGAGGATCACCTGAGCACAGGAGTTCAAGACCAGTCTGGGCAATATAGGGAGACCCCTCTCTCTATGAAAAATACAAAAATTAGCATGGTGCGGTGGTGTGTGCCTGTAGTCCCAGCTATTTGGAAGGCTGAGGTGGAAAGATCCTTTGAACTTATTAGGAGGTCAAGGCTGAAGTGAGCCACTCCAGACTGGGTGACAGAGTGAGGCTTCATCTCAAATAAAAAAAAATCTACAACAGGATTATTGTGGTGATGAAAATGAAATGACACGTCAAGCAATAACTCTTAGCTATTACAATTTGTTCTGAGTTAGGAAATCCTACATCCCAAATACAGCTCTGTCACCTTGTAAAAATGATTCGACTTCCCACAACCTCAACATTCTACTTGGCTTTATCCTGGAGTCTGAGATAACATTCACAGAGACACTAGCCACAGCCCAGCAAAAGTAAGTGCTCAGTTAACTGAATTCCTGTAATTTATGAAAGTGCTTGAAGCATATCTGCCCCAAGGGTGAGTTTCTCTGACGAGTAGCCTGGGTGCATAAGGGAAGGGAAGGTCTCACCATATGGGACTGGGACTGAGGGGACAAGTGGTAAATAAACAGGTCCAGTAGGCAAGGGCAGAGGCATGAGAGGAAAGTAGCCTCTCTCCTCTGAGAGGCTTCCTGCAGTGGAACTGGAAACAAACCAGAACTTTCTTCTGCCCTGTGGATGCCCAGGGGAAACTCCTGTCTGGGCTGCTGGAGATGTCAGGGATCATGGCAAGGCTGGAGACTTATCTTCCCCCACTCCATCTCTGCTGCTGAGAAAAGCTGCTCTCCTTTTTTGCCAAGGGAGGGGTCCCATACACAAGGTTCCCTGGCAGTCTGGGCTCATGGTAAAATATCTCCAATCAGAACTGGGAGGACCATGCCGAGGTGTGCCAAGGACACAGGCACCCCACATGCTTTCTTCTTCTGAAACTCAGCCCCATGTAGGAGAAAGAACAGGTCTTGTGAGTCAGACAGAACTGGGTTCAAACTTGGGCTTCCCCACTCATTTGCCAAGTGAGCCTGGGCAAGTCCCATATGTACTCTAAGCCCAGACTGGTTCACCTGTGTGATGGGGATAAGAATAGTGACCTCTCTGTATTGACATGAGGATTAAAGAGGAAAACAGAGGCCAAGTATCTGGCAGAGTGTCTGAAATACGCAGTAGCTCACTTAGGGAAGTCTTGTGTTAAATAACACATCTCTCGCCACCTCTAAACCAGTCTACTGCAGGAGTAGTTGGGGAAGTCCAAGAAAGAGAAAAGTTTCAAGAAGGTGGAGTTTCCTTAAAAGTCAAACTGGGAAATCTAAATTCCAGGAAGTATGACTTTAATTTGAGACATTTTTCTTTTCCAGAAGTCAGACTTCTAGGAATCTTGCATCTGAAAAGCCTCAAACACCTGCCAGCAACTGAAAGAATGATGGCAAAGCCCTATCTGCTATTTGGAGGCCCTTAATCTCTCGAATATGTTCTTCATATACAGTTTTAAGAGCTCTTTCCCCTCTACCCCCATCTACTATTCACTTTCACTAAAAAAACTCCTGTTCCCTCTTCAGATCTTCACGTAAATGTCCCTTCCTCAGAGAAGCTTCCTCAGACCTTCATGCTGTTCTCCATAAAATCTCACACTCTCTCATCATTGCCTCTTCCACAAAAGTAATTAAATGCAATAGTTGTGTGGCTCCCTGTTTAATAACTGGCTCCCCTAATAGACTACAAGTTTCACAAGGGCAGACATACTGTTGGTCCACAAACTGGTCTGGCGCTGACCAGAGATCATCAATGGACACTCACCTCATTGGATGAAGGCAGCTTGACCATCTGCATTCTGCAGCCTCAGTCAACAAGAGGAAACAAGAATTTAAAGTGAAAGAAGAGGAATTCTTAATACAAGAAGCCCAAAATACATTTTATAATGTGTGTAGACAAGGGGAAAAAAAGAGTATGAAATGCATTCAGAACTCGCAAAAAACTGGTTTTAGGGTTCCTTAGTGAAGAGTCTGTGCTTATCTCTGGGCCTGGGAGTCTGAAAGTGCTGCAGTGGAACTCGATACCGGACCAGAGAGCCAAAATGGTGGCTTGGCGTTCAAATCGATGTACATGGTAAAGTTACTATAATAATTTGGCATCTGGACCTGAACCTCAAGCTCATGACTTCATGTTCTGACAATGCTCTCTGTAGAGAGAGGAATCCATTTTGGAAAGTTCTCTCTTGAAAAATCAGCTTCATATTTATGTTTTAGTACCTAAGTTGCAATAGGTAGGAAAATTATTTTAAACAGAGCTGCTCTTTCTCCAACTATTGGTGTCAGATGGTGCCATAATTCTATACAAACCGCCATTTCAAACACAAACTTCATTGTCCATTCACGTTCAAAGGTGGCTGACTCCAGTGGAAGAAAATAGGTATGACTGTTCACTATATTCATTTGGAAACAGGTGTCAAGAGTCCTAAATATGCTTACACCCTTCCCTTGGCATTTCATTTCTAAGAATCAAATATAAAGAAATAATTAGAGCTGTAAAAGTATTTTATGTACAAAGAAGTTCATGAGCACCATTAGTTAAAATTATAAGAAAAAAGAAATAATCCAAAAGTTAAAAATAAAAGTTGAAGTAAATGGTTGTATAAATTATCACACATCACAACCATATAATAAACAAAATGAAGCAAAAACTACAGCTGAGAAGGTAATACTACTATCAGATTTTTTTTCTTTTTTTTTTTAATTTTGAGACAGGGTCTCACCCTGTTGCCGGGCTGAAGTACAGTGGTACAATCACAGCTCATTGCAGCCTCGACCTCTCTGAGCTCCAGTGATTCACCCGCTTCAACCTCCCAAGTAGCTGGTGACAAGATCACAAGCTGGAGAGGCAGTGATACATAGACAAAAATACCGTAACACTTAACAAAATACACAGAAAAAAATACACCAAAATAAAAAGCAGTGGTTTTTCTTTGGGTTTTAAGATAATAAGTGAATTCTTTTGTTTTCTTCTTTCTGAACGTTCCAATATGCATTATTTCATAATTATAATTAATTTTCTGTTAATGAATTTTATTTTCGCCTACTTAAGCAAAAATTATACACCTTCAGTGTCCTATCAGAAATCAAAACCAAACCGAAACCAAAGAATGGTAGGCATGTTAAAAACTGTTGCCCACATAAGACTGATGGATCGTGAACAATCCCAGAATTTTTATTCCTCAACCAAACGATTCGGTAACAGCCATCCAATTAGAGTGTGTTCCTTGGGTCTTGTCCCATTCGTTTCTGTATTTTGGGTCAGAGCATCTTTCTTGAAGAAACCAAGTCATAAAGGGACTTGGATTAGAATCCAGGAGCTTCACTCTTTCTGTCACTCACTCTGTCACCTGGGACACATTCATTCCTCTTTTATGGGCCTCAGTGCCCCTGTATATTAATAAAATGAAACATTTGGGCCAAGATAGTCATAGAGGGCTCTTTAGCCATGACTGACTGTGATTCTTTGCTTTTCCTGTCTCAGATACTCAATTCTCCCTTCTTTAAAACGACGCAGATGAAATGATCTTTCAACTCAGATTGCAGATGAATATAAAAATAGAAATAGTTTTCCATTAACTCATTCATCACAAGAACACTTCTCAGCCCGGGCTGGCTGGGTTACCACCTCCCTCCCAACTCTTGGCTGGGGCCCCACGCTCTGATCTCAGCTGTAGTCAGGAGAAAAATGGAGGTGGCCACTTTTCTGTGAGGTGTTAATGTGTATCTAGTTGAATGTTTTTCTTTTACTATAAACACTTAAATCACTCCTGGGTGTGTCCTGACATAAGGAAAGAGAATCATAGCCATGACCATCTTTCCCTAATTCTACAGGTATGACAAATAAGATAGATAGAGAATAAAATGCTCAAACACTGTAAATGACCTCATTAGGAACGTCCTATTTTCTCTCTCCTAGATTTCAGCCCTACCCCCAAAAAACATGTGTTCTCTCTGGGATTTCACACGCCGGTCTCTTGCCCCAGACACCATTCTTTTGACCACCTCCTCCCTCCTCACCCCTTCCTCTTATCCCTAAAGTTTCAGTGCAGATGCCTCTTGCTCTGCAGTTTATCTGCTTCCATATCTGATTCTAAGCTTTGAGAACCATATCTGCAAAAATCAGCCAGGGTCCAGCACATGATACTAGCTCAACTAGTGACCAAAAGAATAGGAAAAAAAAAGAGAGAAAGATGATAAAGCTTGTGGGCAGCACTGGCTTAGTTAGGACAATGGGTTGTCCAGCACGCAGGGGTGATCCTGGCCCCGCAAGCTGGAGATGTGGGCAGGAGGCAGCTGCTGAGGGGTGCACACTGTCCTACCTTTTTGGTCTTCACTGTGGAGGTGCAGCAATCCCCGCCGTCATACTTGCAGAAGGCTCGGTTGTTGATGGCATCACAGTAATTGTCTCCCATGAAGGGCTGGAAAGGGAGAGAGAAGCAGGAAATGAGGCCTTGTTAGCATCCTAGAGTGAGTGTGAGCTGGCATCTGCAGCCCTTTGGGTGTCTGTCATCTTTTCACGGCCCTCCCCAGAAGTCCCACCAGACTTCACCTCCCCAGCATGCCCCTGGATAAGCTACCACCTCTACCATTTGTAAAGACTCTTTCTTATCTATTCCAGTTTTTTCCAAGTAGAGTAAGATTATGCTGAGAGGCATACTCTTGTGGGCTTGGGGATGCAAAACCACAAAATAGATGGCTTACGTCTTCTTGAAAGAGGGCTCATTTTACTCAAAGAAATGACCAGAAAATGTGAGCCTCCTTCTATCACTATTTTCAGCAGTATTAATTAAAAACATAATTTATAATAAAATAGATGCAAATATGTTAGGAAGCTGAATGTAGACTGCCCAAGAGGCATTAAGATCAAACATAAGAACTCATAGAAATTTGGCACCATGGTCTGTGTGTGATGGTGGACTCCCTCTCACGAGAAGGGCAGATGTATTTGATGTCACACATTTTACATGTTTGTTTTCTTCTTTTGCTCTCTAAACAATAAGTGAGGTAGGTATTATTGTTCTCACTCTACAGATGAAGACGCTGAGACTCAAAGACAAGGACTTGCCCAAAATCACACTGGCACAGAGTAGATGATTTAAATCTAAGTTGGCTCTGTGTTTTTGTTTGTTTGTGATGGAGTCTGGCTCTGTCACCCAGGCTGGAGTGCAGTGGTGTGATCTTGGCTCACTGCAACCTCTGCCTCCTGGGTTCAAGCAATTCTCCTGCCTCAGCCTCCCGAGTAGCTGGGACCATAGATGCCTGCCACCACACCCGGCTGATTTTTTGTATTTTAGTAGACACGGGGTTTCACTGTATTGCCCAGGCTGGTCTTGAACTCCTGAGTTCAGGCCATCCGCCCGCCAGGGCCTCCCAAAGTGCTGGGATTACAGGCGTGAGCCACTGTACCCGGCCCAGCTCTGTGGTTTTTTACTTCATCACTCTTGGCTGTTCCAGCATATACTGATTTATTTCTTTTATGTGTTTTTCCACCCCTGGGACACTCCAAAGATGAAGAAACGATAACAGAGTCAAGCCATTATTTATCTGAACCCAGAGCCTTTTTAGGGGAAAGTCCAGAAGTCTCTTGGATTCCCCAGTAACTTGTATTTCCTCATCCTCACATTGTATTCTGTGGTCTGTTTCTGTTTCTGTTGCTGGTGCAAGACTGTGAGCTCTTCATGGACATGGGCAATGTCTAGTTTGTCTTTGTCTCCCAATCACCTCGTTTAAGGCTGCACTCAACTGTGGCCCTTAGTAACATTTCTGAAGTGGAATGTAATTGTACCAGCATAGTGGCAAGGGCAGTTGGCAGGTATTGAGAAAACCTCGGTTCTAGTCCTCCCAACCTCAGCCAAGGGGGTGGTTACTTAGCGGTTTTGGTTAAGTGGCTTTATCTCCTCTAGGCCTCAGGATTCCCACTAATGAAATAAAGAGGTTAGATTGGCTCATTGATTTCTCAAAACAGTGAACCTACTCCTCTCCTCACCATCAAATGCACTATTGTGTGACCTTTCCATAGAGAAAGCGGATAAAAGTGAAACCACTCTGATTAAAGTGATGGTTGGGGTCTCTAAAGCTCAGCGACTCATTCCTGGGAAAGAGGTGTCATTTGATTAAGAATTTTGCATCTAAGCACAGCATCTGTGATGCAGTAGTCTCCCCTTACCATCCTCACTGCTCCAGAGAGAACCGAGCTGCATCCCATGTGGCATTCCTGGCTTTTGCATCTCTGTTTCAAATTCTCACTCACAGAACCTTTGCACCCGAAACTCATGATGTCAGATTTCATTTCTTCACTCCACTATTCGAGTCTAAAAAGATCACAGCTAGACAGAGCTCTAAGAGCAAGGAAGACCTGAGCTCAGGTGTGTGAGTGTGCATGCCACTGGCTGTGGGTTCAGGTGGAACTCTGCTGTGTGACCACCAGAACGAACACTTCACATTCACATTAGAGCAGTGGGGTACAGGATAAACCCTTTCTTTTCCTTCCTGCCTCAGGAGGTCTGCCTATGGGCTATGTTCTTTTTTATGTAATAAATGAACAGACTAATGATGGAGACTAATTGTCCCTTCCTTCGGATAAAACGAACTGGCTTGGTAAAGAAGTAGCTAGGGAAAAAGAGAAAAATTAAATGAAGGTGATATTTTTCTATTTGGGCCCTGAAAAAATTCTCCAGTCCCATCACTACCTACTCTATCTGACATGTTCTTTCCTGCAACCATACCCTTTCATCTCCCTATCCATCCATCCATTTATCTTTATTCAATCCTATGTATTTAATTCCTACTATGTGTCACACATTTTGCTAAGGAAAGGGATGCAATGGTGAATCAATAACACATAAAGTTCCTACCCCTCCAGACCTTATACTCCAGTGAAGAGACAGATTTTAATCACATAATCACACATCTAACTAACCCATTTTAACTCCAGTAAGAGCTATGGAGAAGAGGTACATGATGCCATCAAGTGTAGAAAGATTTGATCTGGACAGGGAGCTCAGCGAAGGTGTCCCTGAGGAAATGGTGCTTCAGCTGAGATCATAAAGATGAATAGGAGTTAATTAGATGGGGTTGGAGAAGAGAAAATTTCTAGAGATAGGGAATAACATGAGAAAAACTCTGCTACCTGGAGATTTCTCCCATCTTTGGTGTATCTCATGTTGCTACTTCTACTAGTAATGCATCCAGACAAACAAACCATCCTTCATGATCTAGCTCAAATGTTACCTCTCCAAAATGCCATCCCTCATAGCCTCAGGATGCTCTGTGCTGCCATAGCTTCTTGTATTTGATTTGGTGATAGCTCTTCAGTATTTTAGAATTTTCTCATTAATTGTATATCTCTTTCATTATACTGTGTGAGCATCATCCATTTTTGTATTCTAGATTCCTAGCAAAATGTCTGGCATTTGTGCAAATATAGATTCCATAAATGTTTATTTAGTAAAACAATGGATGGATGGGTAGATGGATGGATGAATGGATGGATGGATGGATGGATGGATGGATGACTGGCAAGAAGATACCATAGATGACTCAAGGAGAGCATAGTTACTATTTTCACTGGACTAAGACCAATATATTCCCAGAACTGGAACAATATCTGGCATATAAGAGGTTCTCAGTGAAGCTTTGATGAACAAGTGAGTGAATGATCACTTTGGACTCAGCATGGTATAGAGAACAGGGGCTCAGTGGTCCCCAAACACTTTGTCTTGGCTACCTCTGGATACTTTAGGTTGATGGTCCCAGAATTTGTATCTCTTCTAAGAATACTTTTCAGCTACAGACAAGGAACTATTAGAACTAAGCTAAAGAGGAAAGGAGATGAGGGGCACCTGCAAGGGCAAAGGCGATAAGCATCACTGGCAGGGCTCAGAGCCTGACAGGTGAGGGTCTCTTGGGCCTCACTACTGAGTCCAAGAAGGGATTGAATTCTGCTGTCACACTGGTTGCCCAGACCGCCAACTCAGCAGAATGAGTGCCCAGGTAACTCAAGCTTTCTTTTCCCCAAATGCTGGACTGATCCAGAGAGATAGAAGTAAGCAACAGCCACAGGGCCTTGGCTTTGATTTTGCCACTCCCAACTGAAGCTTGGGAGAATGAGGTTCCAAAAGTCAAGTACAATGTCAAATGCCCTCAGGAAATCCCCCAAGAATGTATAGAAAGAAATGTGTGACCTAGGGATTGTCTGGTGACACTTGGAGGTCAGGGAATGGATCCTAGGCAGGTAGTAGGAGAAAAGCACCAGCATAGACGTTAGAAGAGCTAGGCTTGTATTTTGTCTTTGTGGTTATCATGCTGTGCTGACTTGGACAACTCATCCTCTCTCTGGCCCTCGTTTTCTACACCAAGAAAATAGAGCTTGATCAAATGAAAAGCCTTCCTTGTTCTGACATGGCATCAAATTTTAGATCCAGCCACTGCCTGGGTCTCTGTTTACCCATTTTAAAAATAAAAGGTTAGTTGAGATTAGGCAAAAGAGCCTTGCTGGTTCTGGCATTCTAAGAAGTTTCATCAAATACAACTTTTCCTAGGGCATGGTCTGATCCTTTTCACCTGTGTTTTCCTCAGTGGGCTCTGGATGAGTTACAGAGATTTGGCCATCCACCTGTAAGGGATTTGGGGCTGCTTTTTCACTGCCAGATGGGAAGAGCCACAAGGGGCAGAGTGACGTGCAGAAATGTCTTTGAGTTCTGTGGACAGCCCTCCCATGAGGACACAGCTGAGGTCCCAAGAACCATGCCCCTTGAGTCCTGCCAAGCTTGTCACTGATACACAGAGCCAGATCTCTGTAATTCCAAGTTCTGGGGAATGGCTCAACTGTGAAGTCACAGAATTTAGGGGTCATAAAGGCTCTTCCACTTCAGCCCAATGGTATATCTAAGGCATTCATATTCCTTTTGGGGTTGAGGCATGAGTAAATGGCTAGGATGTGGGGCAGAAGGCATAGGTCTGCGAGTAAAGGTCATCTGTAAAATGGGCATTAAAGACAAAACCACCTTACCCGACTCTGTAAAGGTTAAATGTAATAATGTTGGTAAATTTCCAAATTAGCATATTCTAGATGGTAAGTCATTATAGTTTCCCGCCCTTCCTTTCTTACAGATCCCATTATTTTGTAGACCACAGGCTCTGGAGCCACAAAAGCCTGGCTTGGAACCCAATTCTGTTACCCATTCCCTGTGCTTTTTAGTCTGTTTCTTTATATCTCTCTGCTTCAATTCTATCGTCTATAAAATGAGGCTGCTAATCCCTGTCCAAGAAGTCTGCTAAATGGATATTTTCAACACTCAGTAGGTATGGCAAAGGATAACCAACATTAATACAACAATAACAATAACAACAGCAGGATTATTTCCAGGGAACTGAAGAGTGCCTTCCCTGTGACTCACCTCACAGCCTTTGACACAGTGAATCAGAGCAGGGTGAGGATACCACTTGAGACCAGCAGTGCAGACAACTCTCTGTGGGAAGAGAGACAGAGAGGTGAGATGGGCTTGGGATTGGGAGGGACCCACGTCTGTGTTGGCACCATATTCAACCACCCCACCTCTTCTGGGACCTTCCAAGTCCTGACCTCACCCTGGTGTTTACAAGGAGAACTTGCCCGGGTACTTGCAATAACAGGAGCCATAAGATTAAAATAATATTTGTGTTCACCGTATGTGTCATGGTTCTGTATTTCCCTGGCAGAAACAAGGGTTGAGGAGAAGCAGAACTGGGAGGTGGAGACATGATCAGAAAGGCCCTTCAGAAAATTCTCAACTGATGTTTGATCCATTCGTGGAGTTGAGATAAGGTTGGAGGAGGAGGGGTGTGTGTGCATGCAGGTGTGTGTTTGCATGTGTGCATGTGTATGTGTGCATTCATGTTGTATGCGTGTGGCTGCGGCAGGAAGATGGGAGAAAAGTGTGGAGCAGTGTTTCTCAAAGCATGAGCTGAAGACCACTTTCATCAGCACTGGTGTTGAAAGTGCTGATGAAACACCACTCCATGGGAGTGTGTTAAAATGATGAACATACTCCATGGGAGTGTGTTAAAATGGCAGATTCCTCAGCCCTGCTTTGGATTTAATGAATTGGACTCTCTGAGGCCACGCCCTGATGCTCTGCATTTTAGCAAGCCTTTCAGATGATTCCAATGCACACTACAGTCTGAGAGCAAATGGGTTGCTGGACGGATGAACCAACCTGCGGCTCAAACCCCTGGAAAAACAGAGAACTCCTCCTGCTGTCACCTGCTGCCATGTCATACGGGTCTGCCCGTGGTTACCTGAGGTTGCCCACAGTGAATTCATTCTTGCTCTGCCCCTTCCCTGAATGTCCTTCCCCATTTTGTCATTTTGAGAATCTTTAAAATGTCTGCTCAAAACTTATGTCTTCTGTGGTACTTTTCCTAGCCCCATCAGGCAGAGCTTATAGGCACTTATTTATAGCCTCCTTTTTAAAAATAATGATGATGACAACTAAAATATATATTTGAGTGTATTTGTTGTGCTAAGGAAAACTGTATGCATTATCTTATTTATTTCTTGCCATGATCCTGTGAGGTGGGGATTAATCTTGCGTCATAGAGAATAAATTCCCCATGCTCCATAGCTGTTAGAGAAACTAGGATTTGAAAATAACCGATTGTTTCAGAAATGATTTAATAACGCTCCTAACATAAAAGCCAACATGATGATGTTTTTAAAAGTAGATGAAAGAAGAAAGTTAAACAAGACTAGAAAGATAACATAGTATCAGAAATAGGGCCACCATAAAAATCCTAGAAGCTCCCTTTTCTGTTCTCCATAGATGCCCCAGTTTTCACACCAGATTACAATTATTTCTTTGAAGAATGAAATAAAATAAAATGGCACGTGCTTAGATTTGAGGTAACTGTCAGCAACCAGCCAGGGAAGTCCACACGATCAGAGCTTGTTTGACTGACTGAGAGACAAGTTGATTAATTTTAATTAAAAAATCAACAGTCACATGGGCCAGAATGTAGAAAATCCATGTGAACAGCCTATTCTCTCCCTGAGGGCAGACCTATATGGGAGCCAAATTGTAATTAGGCTTCTTGGTGAGGTTATGACAAACGGAATCAAGTGACTCTGACTGGATTGGGTGCCTTTCTTCTCAGCTCCATAACATCTCAGGTTCACATGAGATATCCCATGCCTTCAGCAATGCCTGGCACAGAGGGGAATGCTAAATAAGCATTTATTTTATAAAGGAACGGATTCTTTTCAAAATAGAGATGATTTTATCAATGGGCAATAATTTCTTTACTTGACTTCCTGTCTTCTAGAGCATCAGAAGATCATCTAAGCTCAAGCACTAGACTTGTCCTCTAAACAAGTCGAGTTTAGAGGACCATTTGAGTATAACCTGAATGTAGCCACTATCATCCTCCAAGTAGATCAAAGACCGTGGAGAAAGAGCTTAACTTGATGATCTCCCAGTCAATCTTGCAATGTGAAATCCACTATCTTGTCCCTTACTGCTTCTATTGAAATTGTCTACCCTCCCCTAATACACTCATAAGGTGGTATATGGGAAAAGTCATGGGATATGAAATAGGACAGACGTGGTTGCCATTCTGATTTGGAATTACTTTGTAAATTTCCACTATGAGGGTTGGTTCTCTCATCCATAGGATGGGTACTGAAATAGACTTGTTTTGATGATGCATTCATATAAATGATGTGAAAATGGTAAACCTAGTACCAATTTCTTATGTTTCTTGAGGGCAGGTCTTGAGTTTCAGACATGTCTGTATCCTTCCAGGGTGAAGCATGGAGCACAGTGAACACACTCATGAAGGAATGTGATGCAAATACAAATGAGGGAATTTGGGTAGTGTCAGCGTTCCTTTCTTCCAGTTAAGCTACCTTCTTCCCTTCTGCCTCTCAGCCATGGGGCTGGGTGAAGAGGATCATGTGCTTTAATTCTCTTAACCAGAATTTCATCTCTAAGTATGAGAGTCTGTTCCCAGTCAAAATCCAGAGGTGTTGGAGGGCATTTGGTAAAGGTTCAAAAAGTAGAAAACAGCAGAGTTAGAATCTGCTAGGGATTTGATGCCCATGCCTTCCCCTTGTTTATTTAAGAGCTAATTTCATCCATCTGTAGGAGTGTCTTGGTGTGGTTGTACAGGTTTCTGTCAGTTGAGGTTTACCTGATGTGAGTTTGGAAAAAGGATTTTTATACTAACTGCGTAAGCCTATTTATCTTTCCAAGGCTTTTGGATTTTCCACTATACTCAGGGCTGCATGCCCACCTGTCTCACTACAGGGTCCCTCTGCGTATTGGAACTGGGAAAGGGGACAGGCCGTGGGAGCTGAAGGAATAGTTACGCTATATGCAGGAGAAGTTGGGAGATCCCAGACGGGGCCCCTCAAATGTCAGCCTTGTTTCTCTTGGTACTAGTAAGACATCTAGCCCAGCCAGAGTCTTTTCAGATAAGGTTTTGTAAGAGGGCTCTCATTTCCTGCCTTGGTGGTAGGCAGAATAGGCTATCTTTTCTTCCTGGCTCCAATTACCATCATCATCATTCTCATCATCAACACCACTGGCACCACCATTATCACCACCACTATCATCATCAACACCTCCATGAACACTATCGCCATCCTCTGCACCGCTTTCTCTTTATCCTCATCATCATAGCATCACCACTACCACTACCATCATCACCAGCATGAACCCACCATCACTACCATCACCACCTCCACCAACATCAGCACCATCATCACCGCCAGTATCCTCATCCTTATCAGCACAAAATCCTCTATTAAATAAATATTATGCTCTAAGCCCTGGGCTCAGAGCTTTTATCTCATTTAATTCTCACCGTAACTATGAGATAGGTACTATTTTTGACTCTGGTTTACACAAGAGAAAACTGGGGCACAGAGAAGTTAAATGACCTGCCCCAAATCGTACACATAGGTAGTGACAGTCAGCAATTAAACCCACATTTATCTGGTTTTAAGGTCTAGCTTTGAACACTATGCTCTCCTTCAAAGTATACTATCCCCTGAAGCTGTAAGTATAAAATAGCTTACTCTTTTGACCAATGCGAAGACCAAAGTTCAGAAAGGTGGAAAGGCCCTTTGAGGCAAATGTTAGAGGGGGTAGAGTATCTAAAAGATGAAGGCCAAAGAAGACAGGCCCCAAGCAGAGCCAAAGGCATGTGAGAAGGCAGCTAAGAGAGCCCCCTCAGCCAGAGGCCCAGATCTCACACCCCTCCTGGATGTCTTCTTCCAAGATGAGACCTTTTCCTCTTGGCTTTTTCCCTGATATATGGGACCTGCTATGAATGGATCGTATCAGTTATTATTATGATTTTTATTTGCTTTTTGTTATCAGCCACTGAGTTTCTGGCTTCTTTCTCCAGTAAGCTTTTTAGAAGCCTAGGTATTTCCCACTCTGTATTCCTAGCGTTTGAAGAAGATCTGCCACTTGGAGGTGCATACTTGATGTTTATTGAATAAGTAAATGAACAAATGAATAATCGAATGAATGTATGAGCGTGTCCGTAAATGAATGAAAAAATAGGTGGATTCTGGCTGTGTCTCTTTGTCTATGGACTTCCCCTCCAGCAAACTTAGTTCTCCATCTTTACATCAGTGAGACTGGACTTAAAATAGTCACTCTGAACCATTTGACCTCTAACCTTTTGATACTTGGCAGGGTTTTCCACAAAGCTCCCTTCTTTTCACGAAATGAATTTTGCATTCTTTGTCTGCATGTGTCGCATATTTTTAAAAGACATGTATGAGGGTTGCCCTTGCAGGATGGAAGGCAGTGCAGTTAGCTAATTCTGCCACATTCATTATGTGAATTGAGCAGTGGCAACCTCTTTGAGCCCCAGCTTCTTCATCTGCCATGTGATAATCCTTACCTCACCGGGGAGTGATGGAGACAAAATGAAGTGGCACATATAGAATTGCCTAGCAAACCATGTCTACATATTAGAGAGAGTCAATAAATGGCAATTTACCTCTCCTAATTCATTCCCTCCCTTCTGTTTCCCCCTCCCATTTTTTTTTTTTTTTTTTTCTGGAAGCTATTATGAAAGAGAAGGTCTCAGCACCTAGAGGAATTCCAAAGTCCTGAGGATAGGGAGATGCATTTTCTATTGTGAAACACTCTCAGCATCCCTGGGCAAGGGACAACGTGTGAGCAAATTGCATCTATTTCCTAGGAACTGATGGGAGACAGGCTGCCACCCCAGAATTCTAGATCTCCAGGCTGGAATAGTCTATCTCATCCAGAGGTTGCAAGCCAACAGCTTCTAGGCTACACAAACCACAGAAATGTTTGGTTTGGCATACAAGTGCTTAAAAAAAGTCAAAAGTAGTTGCCAAAATTTTAAAAAATGAAAGAGATTTCAGATTTTTTAAACTCCAGATTTCTTGTACCCAAGAAAAAATGAAAAATTTGGCTGCAGGAGACCCACATTTCCAAATTGCTGCACTTGGCTACAGCTGTCCCCCTTTGGAAGCAGAAAAACAACTATGTTTTCCATATTCTGCCATAGTCTCCACCATTCCCTGCAGTCTCTCCAGCATTGAACCTGAGGGGCATTTCTATCTATGATCGAGTTTGTATCATTTTGCTTATTAGATTAGAGGAAGAGTTCTCTGTACCTCTAATCACTTTCAAAAGTGCATGAGCAGGGAAGGTGATTGAGAAGACGGCTTAGGACACCAAAAAGAAGGTACATTGTGTTTCTCTTTATAGAAGTTAAAAATACACGTATGAAAATGGCTCGTGATTCCAATTATATGAAGTTTACAAACAAGCAAAACCAATCCATAGTGATAGAGAACAAAACAGTGGTTACCTTGGTGCTGAGGAAATAGCCTGGCACGGGGAGGGAGGACTCCCTGAAGATTTGGACAGGTCCACATCTTAATATGGTAATGGTTTCATGCGTGTACACAAACATAACAATTTATAATGCCTTATGCTTAAGATTAGCATATAAGTTATAGCTCAATTAAGAAAAAAGAGGGAAGCTGAGGCAGAACGATCACTTGAGGACAGGAGTTCAAAACCAGCCTGTGCAACATAGTGAGACCTCATCTCCACTAAAAAAAAAATTTAAAAATTGAAAAACAGAAAAATAGAAAAGGACTTCAATAATATCTATAAAGTTTTATTTAAGTTGGGTAGTATGTGCATGGGTGTTACATTTTTCTGCAAGTCTTTCTTTCTGAAATATTTATAGTAAATACTACTAGTACTAATATGCCTCTGTGATTCTATTTATTTATTTATATTTATTTTTTGAGATGGAGTCTCACTCTGTTGCCCATGCTGGAGTGCAGTGGCACAATCTCAGCTCACTGCAACCTCCACACCTCCTGGATTCAAGTGATTCTCCTGCCTCAGCTTCCTGAGTAGCTGGGATTACAGGTGTGTGCCACCATGCCTGGCTAATTTTTGTATTTTTAGTAGAGACAGGGTTTCACCATGTTGGCGAGGCTGGTCTTGAACTCCTGACCTCAGGTGATCTGCCCACCTTGGCCTCCCAAAGTACTGGGGTTACAGGCATGAGCCACCACACTTGGCTGCCTCAGTGTTTAACATGCAAAAGGGAGGTTTTCTGCTTCACTCATTTCTCCACCTGCCTGGTTCGGGTGGTGTTTCATTTTGTGACTCCTGAATGAAGCCTAGCTCTCTCACTAATGGGTAAACTGTGGCCTAGAGAAGTGACAGGATTTACAGCAGAACATATAGAAGGAAGGCACCAAGGCTTACACTAGAACCTTGGTCACCTGACTCAGCAATGATAAATATTTAGCAAGTACCTACTGCTGCCAGGCACTGAGGGAGGTACTATGGTAAATAATATGACCACAGTCCTGCCTTCACAAAGCTCACTGTCCTGGTGTACCCATCACAACCTGTGATCGCAATGTTGATATTCCACTCCTCTAAGCAGTCATCATTCTCTTCATTCATGTCAATATACGTAACGAGCTTAAAATAGAGCCTATCTTGGCTAAGCAGCAGTGGTGGGCCACAGCTGGCTTGCACAGGCTCGCAAGAGCCAACAGTGCCTGGATCTTCCCAACTTTGTGCTCAGTGACAGCAATATGGAAACCTTGAAATCTGCCATGGTAGGAATATTTATATCACAGAAATTGGGAAATGCTATAAATCAGAGTTTCATGTTTGTGGAGAGCCAGTTGTTAACTATCTGCCAGCACATCCCTGGAAAGCCATCAGTAAATGCACTGCCTTTATTATTCTACATTCCATAGCAGCTGTGGGGATAGCGGAAGTAAACTATCAGACTTGCCTGGGTCTCTCTTCAACTTCCCTTAGGCAAGTGGCTTCTGTCTCTGACATTCCATTACTTTCACTGGAAGCAGGAAGAGACTATTATCCACCTGATAGGGAAATGTGTGTGTGGTTGTGCGTGTGTGGTAGGGGGTGGGGGTGGAAATAAAGGAGAGGAAGTGCCTACCCAGTGCCTGATCACAGCAAGTGCCCTTTAAATGTCCATTCTTGCCTCTCACTGTTACCTGAGGATAAAAGTGGCAGCAGCTGGAGCAGAGCCTCACCCCAGCCATCTAAATTGCACTGGTGCTCACAGGCAGACCCTCAAAAAGCAGAGGAGCTATCCAGGGCCTCCTGTGGCCTGGAAACACCTGCACCAGCAGCTCTATTTCTGTAGCTCTCACCGCACAAGGGGCAAGGGTGCAGCAGAGGCCAGCTTTTCTGCCTTATTCCTGGAAATCATCAATCTCTGCCCTTCGCCCTCCTCCCTTTTTCTACCACATTTTTTTCCTCCTGGATAATGAGGCCTCCAGAGACCAGTGAAGGTCTGAACCTCGTTATGGTTCTCTCGGTAGGACAGCATCAATAAAGGCAGGCAGACCAGGGAACTGGGTGGGGGATGGGGTGGGCAGGCAGCGGGTGGGCAATGATGGGGAGGCGGGCAGCTTGCAGGCTTTCAAATCCCTGGATTTATTTCACAGTGAATTATAACTGAACTCTTTAGTGCCCAGGGCTCACAGAGGGAAGGGTGGGAATTTGCCCAGGGGGTAGGAAAACAGTCTTAAGTGGGAGGCTGGGCTAGGCCAAGAAGATCTGTGATACTGGGGTGAGAGGGAGGTCTTCTATGTCTGCTCTGCATATGAGTCAAACTCACCTGCTTTGCGGTATGTGGGATTTAGGGTGGGAAACCAAAGGAGAACCGGTAGTATGGGAGGAGCTGCCAATCACAAGTCCAGCTGTCGTTCCAGCTGTGCTGCCTGTGCGGCCCAGCCGCCTTCCTCTATAAGCCTCAGTCTCCCTATCTGTTCAATGAGGAGCCTGTCCTTCACGATCTCCAGCTGCCTTGAGATTCTGACATGTGGGCTCCCTGCATGCCTGGGTATAGGAGCATGTCAGGGTGCGCTGGGGCATTCAGGGGAATCCATACAGGAATTCTGGTTCAGGAATGGTGGAGGAAACAGATGGAAGAGCTTGAGGTTTGGGAAATAGGGCTGTCTTGGGGATATGGAGAGAGTCAGAGGCCGAGATAGAGAGAGAAACCAGGGGATGATGGAAATGAGAGTGTAGCAGGGAGGAAGACAAAACAAGGGGAAAGATAGAGGAGGGAGGAGAGAAAGACAGAGTGGAAAGAGGTAGGAAAGAGATTAGAGAGAATAAGATGGAGACAGAAAAAGAGAGCAGAAGAGAAAGAGGAAGCAGAAAGGAGGGGAGGAGCACGCCGGGGCACACGGAGGAGTAGAGGGGGTCTGGACAGGTCTGTATGCCTGGAGCGCTGAGTAAGCCCTGGCAGTGGTGCCCTCAGCGTATTTGAGAAACAGTACACCCAGTATCGGGTTCTGCCCAGCTCTCCGGAGTATGATCTGTAGCAGGAAGGCAGACGGCAGCTCCCTGGGCTTCATGGCCTCTCAGCACCCCAGGCAGTAGGCTGGCAGAGAGACATAGAGCTGAACCTTACCCACCCCCCCCCCAACTCTGGCCTCCTCCTTTCACTTTCTCCAGGGTGAGGAGCCAGTGCTCAGAGTGACACATAAGGCCTGGGATCTGTGATGTCCTGAGAGACAAGGGCAGGGCCCACATCAGCTCCAGGGGCCCCACTTGATGGGGTGACACGAAGGTGAGTGGGAATAGCTGACCTCAAAGTCAAACTGACACTGCCTGGAGATGGGAGCCCCTGGAGTCATCTGGCTGGGGGCCTGCTGGCCCGGCACTGTGGGAAGCGCACAACACTCAGGCTCACGTTTGGGTTCGAGCCTTGGTTCAGGGCCTCACTTCTGAGACTTCAGTGTCCACAACTAGAAAATGCAGACAATGACCCCTCCCTCATACAACTGTACTGAGGTTTAAATGGTGTCTTGGTGCTAAGCACTGGCCACATGAACACGGCAGGTTCTCCACAAACAACCGATGTTACTAGTTTGCTATACACCTACTAATTGCTTTCCCCAAAATAGGTAAAGCTTGGAGAAAGATACCAGTAACCTAGTCTATGTAAAGTGGAAGGCTACATGGGAGGGCACCAGAGAAGGCACACAGCCCCATCCTTTTAAGGATGGACTTTCCAGCCAGACAGACTTGGGTCTGAGACCCGGCTCTATGCTCCCTACCTTTGTTACTGGTGCCTCAGTTTATTCCTAGGCTGACATCAGCATTTAGTGGGACAGAAAATAAAAGCCCCTTTACCTAGGACCTGACACAGAGAGAAAGTATTAAATAATTAAGGACTAGAGAAATGATTGTGATTAAGTCTCCTCCCCACTCTACCCCAGCTTCCCCCCACACACACCCACAGGGCAAGTGTGAGGATTAAATGAGATAAAGAAGGAGCTCAGGACCGGGACATAGCAAGTGCTCAGCAGAATCATTTCCCTCCCCCTTAGCTGCTGGTAGGTAGATGTCCTTGGTCACTCACCTCCACCCGCGTGGGGTTCAGCCAGTGGGGGATGTCACGCACGGTCATGTTCATTGGCAGGATGATGGACTCGCTGTTGCGGTCCAAGCACGAGGTGGCACACTCGGACCCTGAGGGAAACATAGCATGAGGTGGTGGATCAGGCCCCAGACCCTCCACTTCTGCAAACAGCCCTCCTGCATAATGGGCCCTGCTGCTCCCTGGTCCCCGGTGGACTCAGCTACCCAACCTCAAGGCACTGGGAAGGAGAAGGCTCCCCGGGCAGGAACACCTCTGATCTCCCTGACTCCATTCACATGCCTCCCATATGGCTGATTCCTGCTGCCGCCCTCATCCAGCCTGAGCCTAGTTTGATCAAGCTCCTCCTCTGCTCAAACACCTTTCCGATGCTCCCCACATCCAGAACAAGATACAGGTCCCTTTGCCGGGTGCAAAATACCTCCTGCGGTCTGGTCAATCTCTCTCACTAACCACCTTCACTCTTTGGTTGGTTCAACCAGACTGAACTACACTTGGTTTTCCATCTGAGTCCCACAATTCTCAGTCTCTGTGCTTCTTCCCTTGTTCACCCCATCTCCTGAAATGTCCCCCAGTCTGCCTTCCCATAACCAAATTCTATCTGAAGGTCCAGTTCAATTCTTCTAAGAAGTTTGCCCTGATTTCCACAACTGAATGAGAGTACTCCATCACTGGCTGTGCTTGATTCACCTAGGAGTTTAACCCAGTGCCTGACACATAGGGAGAGCTCACAGAGTATTGGCCGAATGAATGATGAGCACATAAATGCAATACCAGCTTATTTTTTTCCAAGGTTTCATCCCTGCCTTTCCCTGTGCCTTACAGACCCTTCCCACTCCAAATAGTGCATTTTTTATGATCCTACAGACCTCAATCCTATGCCACTTGCCCAAAGAAGACCTCCATGGTTTCCCGACAGGCCAAGCACCTCACAGGTGCCCATGACAGAATTGTCACATGACCATTTCCTCTTTGCTTGGTGAGTGTGATATCAATAGCTCTCTCTTCCTTGCTGGACTATAACTCTACAGGGCCAGCACTACCCATGCTCCCCATTCTATGTCCAGAGCCTGGCATTATGCATGGCAGATGGCAGGCACTTAGTAAATATTTGTGAAATGAGTGTAAGAGACAGTGAGTGAATAAGTGCATCAGTGGATGAGGAAATGAGTGGATTCATGGATAAATGAATGATGACTGAATGATGAATATGCATTTAGGTATCTTATGAAGGAGGAAGTAAGTACATAAAGGGATAAGTGAATGAGTAAATTATGGATTAAATGGATAAAATAATGAAAAAAACCCTCAGGCAATGAGTCAAATAAGGGGTAAATGACTAACAGGGAGAGGTAAGGCTACTACATAGAAGCGTTTGGTCCAGTAACTTCTGGATGAAGACAGTTGACTTTCAGGCTGTGGGTTGAAAAGTTGACTGTAATTCAGCTCATTCATTCTTTACCCTGACCTCACACACCCTGAGGTCATCTGAAAAATCAAGCCTATTCCATGGAAATGCCCCAAAGAGGCATTTATTCATGTGGGCAAAGAAACAACCTGTCAGAATCCAACAAGGGCTGGAAGAGGTCATTTCCCTGTCATCGTATCAAAACCACCTTGCAAACACTAAATAGTTCACTGGGAGCAAGTCAACTCTTTTCTTCAAATATCCTGTTCTATGAGCTGTTTTAAAGGCCTCCCTTCCAAATATACGTATGTACGTATTAGCTATTTTAAAGGCCCCCTTCCAAATATACATACATACAAAATGTAAATATGGATACAAAATATACATATGTATATTTGGAAGGGGGCCTTTAAAATAGCTAATTGCATAAATATATATAAACACACCTATATGTATATATATGATGTAAAAAAAATCAGGCAATGAGTCCATGAAAGGGTGAATGACTAACATGACATGCACAAGCAGATATGTATATACATAAGCACATAAACATGCAGTATACATAGAGGCACATGTCCGTGGATAAAATGTCTGTCATCTATCCATTGCCCTTTTTGTTGCCACCTTATCTTCCTTTCTAGTCTAAGAGGCTCACAAATCTAAAGAAAGAGGTAGGATGGAGTGGCAGGAGGACCATGTTTAAAAGCCCTTCACTTTTAAATTTTTATTTATTTATTTATTTTATTATGAGACAGAATCTCTGTTGCCCAAGCAGGACTGCAGTGGTGCGACCTCGGCTCTCTGCAACCTCCACCTCCCCGGTTCATGTGATGCTCCTGCCTCGGACTAGTGAGTAGAAGCCCTTCACTTCAAACAGTGGGACACTGAACCTGACTAGGGGCAGTTCCTGGCCTCACCCCGTGGTTTTTCTATGTTACCTCATTTCCCTGAAAATGGTGGCAGCCATGGAAGCAGGAGAGATGGAGAGAGCCAGAGGAGCGACAAGAAATGAGACACACACAGAAGACGACGATGACTGATGAGAATAAGAAGCAAAATCCCTAGGCAGTCAGAGAAACTGCTTATGGAGCATGCATTATCATGAGACCAGTTCTAAAGGCGTTTTTAGGGAGCAACGATGAGACAAGGCTGTGATGAGAAAATTCTTTTGGGAAAAAAAAATGCAGCCTCTGAGAAATAGACTAAGGCTATCTTATCCCAAGAGAGGAAAAAAAGAAGAAAACCTGTGGTCAAAACAGGAGATACTTGCTGTCCTATGCAGCAGTCATGTCTTAATTGCTCTTTCTTCTCCCTCCTCTGGGCTCCCCTCCCCGACACCTGCTCTGGGGCTTGAGGACCAGGCTGTTGTGTTGTGATATATGAGCCACAATTGCCATTTTTACAGAGTGGTGATCTCACCAGGCCCCCGCAGCTCCTTCCTGGTGGGCGTGGGGAGGGTGGCAGCCCTGGTGGCAGCAACAGCAAGTTTCTGAGGGCTCATAACTGCCACAGAAGCCTCCTCAGGCGGCCTGGCGGAGGTGTGGAGAGGGAACTGTCTGGGGGACTACAGCTCCCAAGCCTGATACGTATCTCACCCCTGCATATAAGGCCAGTGATCAGATCCCTCTCCTTGGCAAACTGGATACTCCCCAGGGAAGGGCTCAGCCTGGGAGGTGGAAGTGAGGGGTGTTTGGCGGAAAGCAAGGATACAGCTGGGGCTAAGGAGTGGATGAGGAAAAGCTGCTTTCACGGCGTGCCTCTCACTCACCCTCAGTTCTCCTGTCTCCCTATGTTGCTTTTTCTCTCTGCTCTCCTCCAATGTCCTTATGCACTCATCATCTGCCCTGGATTATCACATTCATAAGATGGATATCTGGGTGCCAGCCATGGGGACTTGGGGTACAGGAATGGGGAGTTAATTCAGGTTGCAATATCATATAGATTTCTTTCCCCTTCTGCTTTGACCATGAAAAAACTCAACGGGTAAAGGATTACCACCCTCCCACCCCTTCCCCTCTTTCTCCAGTGTTCTGATGGAGAGAAGAGAGCCAGGCATTGTACTCAATTGTGGGCAGCTGGGACATGTGAATGAAGGGTGTAAATGTGTCTGTGATATTTGTTTGCCTTTTATGCATCTTTCTGTGTGTTTGATATGTTTGGGGACATAAAATATGTTGGTGTTTGTTGAAGGATGAGACTTGTATGTACTGCCTGTGAGTGCTGTGTATAGGTTTGTGTGCTACCTGTGTATGTATGTGTTTGTGGGAGTGATGCATTTGTGTGGTATATGGCTGATGTGTAGGTGTTGGGCATGAGCTTACTATATGATGTGTGTGTTTGGGGGTATGTTTGGTGATGAATCATTTCAGCATGTGGCATGCATTTATGTATGCATGTATGAATGTATTTGAATATATCAGTGGTGTACAGATGCAGCAAATCTGTTTCTATAGGTTTTCCCTAAAGGTCACTTAATCAGGCTTTTTCTCCCAGGGCTACTTGATGCCAGTTAAGAGCATGACTGAATATTCACCTCCACATTCTGATTGAGCTGGAGTTTGTGGAGGTTGGGACCCCATCACAGATATACTTGTTCAGGACCACACACGCCCATAAAGAATGATGGAAAGAAGAAAGTGTTGACCTTGAGATGGTGTAGCCCATGCTGCTCACCATGGCAACACTTGTTGCCCCAACCTTCTAGAATGCCTACATTGGCAGGCCCTATAAGATCCCATCTCTCTGCAACCCTCCTGGTCAGCATCTCATGAACTGGTGGCTATGTAAGATTTTAAAGTACTTTCCAAACCACCAGCGAGAGCAATCACATGCTTTGATGTTTTTCTGACCCGTGCAGGAGCCAGTGCCCTGGGCTAAATGCAAGAGTGCTGATTTCCACTGTAAGTTAAGGTGAAGACCTTCTGCTATCTGAGGGCATGTGTTTTCATCTTCAAAAAGAGGCGGATAGTCCCCATGAACCTTCCCTCTCCAACCACAGGCCTTGCCTCTGGACATGCAGTGGTAACTCTCTGCTTGCTGAGTGAAGATCAGGTTGGATCTCTGTACACTCAGATAACCTTCTACACCAGGCACCCCTGGCAACTGCTCCAGAAATCACATTGGCCAGGAGAAAGGACATTCAATTCTCTAGGCTTTTCATCATGTTCAATTAGGGAATCAGCCCAAAAGGTCAGCATCACTGCCCTTAAATGAGGTCAAGCTCCGTGAACTCTGAGTCCCCCGGAAAGCTGTCGTGCTTGTGATTAATGCATCTGTCCAGACACCTGGTTTCAACGAGGTAAATCCCTGGCATACAATCCCAGCTGGTCTCTCCTCACTGTGTGTACTTCTTGAGCTGGCCTGTCACCATACAAAGAGTATTTTGAAAATTCAGTTTGTGCTCATCTTGGATGCAGCTGAGACGCCATGGAAAGAAGTCAGGCTTCGGAATAGAATGGGCCTCAGGATTTGGGAGCATGTTCCATTATCCCCTCAAGTTTTGATTCCCTCATCTGTTAAAAGTTATTTCGAAGATCGATATAATGCCTTTCAAATGCCTGATGAAGAGCCTGAACCATATCAGGTACTCATAAATGTGTAGTATGATGCAAATTTTAAGATTAATAATGAAAGCAGCTGCACCAGACTGCTATTGCTTCCCTAAATAGCAGTGTGTGCTTTCATAACTCCTGCTCTTCAGTCACAGAGTTTCTTCTGCCTGTAATAGCATTTCTTCCCCAACAAGCTTTTTCAAATCCCTGTGTAAGCATCCCTTCCTCTGGGCACCTTCTGTGTCCCCCCCAGGCACATGACGGCTCTTCTGTACTCTGGTGTAACTGTGCACACTCACCCACCATTGCTTCACCTTTTCCCTGCCTTTGATACTCTTTCTGGGAGGACACAGTCTAGACTCCTTCATCTGTCTTTCTCTAGTGTCTACACAGGAACTCGTGTGACCAGGGTGTTCAGTGACCCACCCAGGTATTAACCCTGCATTGCTGGGAGGAATTGCCCCTCCTACTGCTCCCCTCTCAGGCCCATTGTACCTATGGCATAGCCATCAGGGCACTTCAGTTTGAGGTTTCTGTTGAGCTGGTTTGGGACTGAGCACTGGCCTTGCATCTCCTGGCAGACATGGAAGGAGCCGCTCCAGGTGCCATCTTTCCGGCAATGAATGATGTTGCTCCCGTGTCCCTGAACAACAGAGAAACAGAGTCAGAACCAAGAGAGACACCAGCCCCAACTGAATAAGCTATTTGGAATAAAACAGAAAACAATTTTTCATCTCTTCAGAGCTCTGAAGTGTTCCAAAACAATTTCTTAACAATGGTTGAAACTCAAGCACCCTGAAAGAGAGGTATTCTTAGTACCTCCACTTTACATATGGGGACATGAGGACTCAGACCAGGTCCGAGCTTAGTAGTCTCAGAAATTTCCATCAGAGCCAATTACAGTTTTGATTTGGATGTGGGAGTTTTTTTTTAATTGACAAGATAGGAGCCCCTCAGCTCTTCAACTGACACAGAGAGTAAGAGCATGGGTTAATGAGGAGCAATAGAGTTTACTTCCCCTAAAAAAGTGAGAAAGTATCCTATGCCAAGGCTCTGTCATATGCTAACTAAATAATCTGGGTCTAGTGAGAAGCTTTTTTTCCAAGGCATTTCTTTTCCTTCCCTTATCCTTCCTTTCATTTCATTCATTCCATTCTGTTCCATGAAATGGAGAGGGTGATATGGGGATATTTATATCTGTACTTTCCTCCCAATTCTTTAAAATAGGGATGTATAGTTTCTCAATCTTCTACAAAGCATTACACAAATGCGGCTTGAAGACATAACCCTTCTTGAAGTCCCCTTCTAACCTCTGAATTGCAGAAAGCTAATTCAAGTAAGATTCTTTAGTGTCCAACCTGTGCCCAGCTCTGTGGGGTGCAGAAGTGGATAGGGTCAGTGCCTGCCTCTGTGAGCTAGCGGTTATGGCAGTCACGTGAGACATCAGCTATGTTAGTGTGATTGTATTAGCATCTCCATTTTATATATGGGGAAACTGAGGGCTCAGTGAGGCAAGGCAAATATCACACCGGTAATGTGAGAACACAAGGAAGAGTAACTGGTTATGAGGGGACAATCAGGGAAGGCCTCTTAGAGGAGATGATATATGGAAAATGCGTGGGATTGCAGGCAGAAAAGGAACAGAAGACATTCCTGGAAGATGGAAGAGCATGTGCAAATGATGAAAAATACAGTGAGTGTTGGAGAAGCTGGTGTGGTTCTAATTCCATGACTCAAGGGATGAAGCACGGGAAGATGAGCTGATAACAAAGATAAAGCATGGAGCCTTAAATGCCAACCTGAGTAGCTGAGAGTCTACCAGAAAGAAATGGAGAATCACAGCTGGTTTCTGTGCAGGGGGCCCATATTCTGAAGGAGCCGAGAATTCGCTACCTCTTTCAGGCTTATGATAAGATGAGAAACTTGACATGAGGCCAAAGGAGCTGGCTGTGTGCCACCAATGCAAAAATGTATGCAATGGCTTCCTGTACCTTTGACTTCCAGGCAAACTCCTGTGCTGGCTCCAGAGCCCTCCCAGCCTTCATTCTGCCTAATTCTCCAGTTTCTTGCTCTCCAGAGCACCACCACCAACCCTGAACTTCAGTTTCAATTGCTGGCATTTGTGAAGGCATCATATGCTATGCTTTCATGCTCGCTGCTCCTTCTGTCTGCTATGTTTCCTACCCCACCTTGTCTATCTTGCAAACACCTTATCTGACACAGCCCATCCTGCTTTCATGCCACCTCAGTTCTGCATGGGGCACTATCTGAATGTCTCTGACAAGACAATGACCTATTTGTTTATCATCTGTTCTGCAACCAAACAACGAGCTCCTCAAGGCCCAGGCTGGTGCCCTCGGGGCCTTCCACATGCCTGAAAGGTCCAGGCCACTCTGTGCATTCATTCATCACTTAATAGATATTTTTGTTCATTCAAGGACTGTTTGTTTACACCGCATGTTCTCACTCATAAGTGGGTGTTGAACAATGAGAACACATCACACACAGGGGCTTGTTGGGGTAGTGGGGTTAGGGGAGGGCTAACATTAGGAGAAATGCCTCATGTAGATGACATGGGGGATGGATGCAGCAAACCACCGTAGCACGTGTATACCCATGTAACAAACCTGCACGATCTGCACATGTATCCCAGAACTTAAAGTTTCATAAAAAACCAACCAACCAACAAAAAGAACTGTTTGTATAACAAAAGATGGGATGAGTTGGTGGAGAGTGATAGAATGTATTTCTTTCAGAAATAAGTAAGTAAATGAATGTGTGGATGAGGAAATAAATGTACAGGTGAGTAAATGGAAAAAATTAATGAATGAGGGAATAAATTATGAATGGATGTATGAATAAACAAATAAACTCCAAAAAAGAACTGAAGTAGGCTGAGGCTCCCCTCTTTGAGAAAACAGCTGCCTAGAGACAGGATTCAGAACAGAAAGGGGCCCCTTTCCAGGCCTCTCCTGTGCCGGCAGAAGGAAGGTGCAATTACAATGGAAACCTCTCTGGCTTAGGAGAAGAGTGGCCCATCCTGAGCATGCAGCTGCAAGGCGGCTTGCAGAGGTTACTCCCAGAGGTTCTGGATGGGCTCATGGCAAACTTAGGCAGCTTCATGTGGCTTCAAAGAGCCCAGACTCTCCCTCTCAGAGCCCCAGGCTCTAGGTCCCATGATTCTCCAGGGCCCTCTGGGGAGTAGGAAATTGACCCCAATTTCCTGGAGCCTTGGCCTGGGCCTATGATGCATTTGGCTTCCAGCCCCTGAAGGGCTGCAGACCTCAGCACTACTTGGGCCAGGGCTGGCGCAAGAGCTTGGTTTGTAACAGAGAATGTATTAGAAGTAGCCAGAGTCTGCTCAGAGTTTCACACTGGGGAGACACCACCATGAATGAAAGATAGGAGCATAAAGCCTTGGTTTTGATACCATTGGTTTATCTCTCTCCTACCCATTCATCTGGCACTTTCTGTTACTAAATTTGCTTTTAAAAATAGATAGCATCCTTTTGCCAAGACATTTTAGCCTTCAGAACAAGGCATACTAGTAGGTTGGCACTTCCGGGCTTCTACAATGAAATCCAGATGATATTTCTAGCTCCATCTCTTGTATGCACGTATCCTTCCTTCTAGACAAGTGAATCACTTTGTTTCTCTTGCAAACTTTTCTCGCTTTCCCACCTCCACATCTTTGCCCTTGCTGTGCCCTCTGCACAGCAGACTTTCTGGAGCCTCTTTGGATTTTTAAATCCTTCTTTAAGACTAGATGCTAATGCATTCAGCAATTGCCTACTACCTGGTGCAGAGCTTCAGAATCGATTATTGGTGACTGAGTCTAGTTTAACCAGAGAAGATCTGGCATCATTGATGCTCCAATCTGGGAAGACCAGAGGGTACTTTTCCTGGGTGTTGTCAGGGAAGTGACTGGGTATGTCTGACTCCAAATGTACAATTCTTCATGTTAAGGTGAAATTTCTCTAAGAGAGCTGAGCAAAGCAGTTTGCCTCTCTGTGGCTGTGCATCTGTTATTACAAGAGAATACTGAGCTCTTTCTAACTCTCCTGCTGCTTTAGCTACATAGATCCACAGAGAGCTGAAGGCATATAATAATTATATTATAAAATGCCTATTACGTGCCCAGTGCTTTAAAAATCACTTGAACAATACAGTAGAGTAGAAATTATATTCTTTTTGCGGACTTGGAAACCGACTCTGTTAGAAAGTGAAAAAGTGAGTTTTTGAATGATGCTCGTGTCATGGTTAAAAGCCTGGGTATAAGTCAAACTGCCTGAATTCAAATGCAAGCTTGGCAACTCCCCAGCTGGATAGACTTGGGAAAGTTCTTTAACTTCTCTATGCCTCAAGTTCTCTGAATGCTAAATGGGCATGGAGAGAGTGACCTGCTACTGAAAGAGTGATCATGAGGACCGTGTGAGTCCGTTTATGTAAAGCATTTAAAGCCTAACACACATACTGAGCTCTGTAATTGTCAGATGAGGTTCTTATTCACTCTGCTCTACTGTCTCTAAGAGAAGTTTAGAATCAACCCAACCAACAGTACATTTTAGAAATGAGAGAAGCCAGAAAGGGGAGGCCATGTGCTCAAGTCTCAGAGGTTGCCGATGTCAGAATCATGTCTCTTGACTGTAAGCTGCTGTCCCCTAGTAGGCTGAAGGAAAAGAAGGAAAAGAAAGGAAGAGAGAGAAGCAGTAGACTTCTTCTTAGAAGACATGAAAATAAAACAACAGCATGGAGAAATGTAGTGGCATCTGAGCAAGATAAAACCAGGCAGTGAGTGCAGGAGCTAAAGGGCTAAGCTTTGGAGGCATGCTGACTTAATAACAAGAGTGTCAGTTCCACCACGTCTGGCTGTATAAGTCAGGACAAACCCATTTACCTCACCTTCCCCATCTTTAAAATGGGACAGTAATGCCAGATGCCATGGGGCTTAGATGAAGCGATCGGTTTAAAGTGCTCATCCCAGTGACTGGCATGTAGTAAGTGCTCATTAAATTGCAACTGCTGTGACTCATTTGTCTCTGCTCCCAGTCAATGCCCTCACATACATTTGGTATCCTCCAAGGTAGGTATGGGGGTGACATGTTGCCCCAGGAGTGAGGATGAGTAGAAAGTGTGAATTGTGCAGTGACGTAGTTTAAAACCTGTTTCTGCTTGTGTGACTCAGGGCAAGTCCCTTTCCCTTTCTGGGCTTTAGGGCTTCCATCTGTAAAACAAGTGGGATGCAGTGAGGGTCCCTGAGGTCCTGCCTAGCTTTAACATCACACTGGTCTGTGGCTCTTCTGAATTCCTCTAGGATATCCTGGGTGCTTGGCCAAACATTTAACAACCTGAAATGAAAAGCTAGCTGAGGCACTGGACATATGTGAGCTATACCTCGTCCATGGACGGGCCCACAAGTGGAGAGGGTAGCTCTATACCACTTGTGGCAGAAAGGCTTTCACAGCCACCTGCTGGAATCTGTGCAATGAACTGGGTGTGATGTAGATTCCACCAACTCTTCCTCTCTTACTCCTGCTGAGTTGCTGAAATCCATCATTGCATGCATCACTTTGCCCACAAAGCACCTTTAGCTTTTGTTGTTCCCTGCTGATGCATCTTCCAAAGACCCCATCCCCATTCCAAGGCTGACCACTCCCCGAATCACCTACAAAGCCCCCACAGTGCTTCTCATAGGTAGCCAAGCCTCTGTTAGCTCATCAACCAGCTCAGGGGCATGTGAGCTGGATTAATTCCTGAGATGAGCATCTCCTCACCCCCTGGGGATAAAATCTGCGCTTTGCTCCTAGTCTGCCCTGAAAATGTTTGAGAGCAGTGGACAGAGCAGAGCTAGGGATCAGAAAGAACACTACCTGCTATCTTGTTGCCATGGACAAGAACTTAGCCTCCCCCGGCCTTCTTTCTGCACCCATAAAATGGGGATATTGTTTCTTTTCCAACTGTATGTGGTGAGCTATCAAAAGAGAGCAAGTCTGCAATAGCAGCTTGGCACACATCTGACACTCAAAAACAAAGTTTAAAAAGCTGTAATTATTAAGGTTCTCCATCTTGGTTTAAAGGGACAATACTGTAAGTGCTAGAGCTGAACTATGTGATATGGTAGCCACTGTATAAGCATGGCTATTTACCTTCAACTTTGAATTACTTTAAATTTAATAAAAGTTAACATTTTGTTGCTCATTTACTGCAACCGTCTTTCAAGTGCTCCATAGCGACACATGGCTAGTGGTTATCACTTGCCTAGCACAAATATGGAACATTTTCGTCACAGCAGAAAGTTCTACTGGGCAGTGCTGGTCTAGAGGAACTAGAGGACTATTTATTCTACAGGTTTATTTGAGCAAGAGACCAGGTCTGACTACAGCTCATGCTGGTCTCTTTACGCCACACCCTGGCCTTATGCAGGATGGGTGCCCCTTATCAGTTTTTTGTTTTTCTTACTTTAAGTTCTGGGATACATGTGCAGAATGTGCAGGTCTGTTACATAGGTAGACATGTACCATGGTGGTTTGCTGTACCTATCAACCCATCATCTAGGTTTTAAGCCAAAAAGAGGCCATATAGCCAAGACAATCGTAGGCAAAAAGAACACAGCTGGAGGCATCATGCTACCTGATTTCAAATTATACTACAAGGCTACCATAACCAAAACAGCATGGTACTGGTACCAAAGCAGATATATAGACCAATGGAACAGAACAGAGGTCTTAGAAGTAACACCACACATCTACAACCATCTGATCTTCGACAAACCTGACAAAAAGAAGCAATGGGGAAAGGATTCCCTGTTTAATAAATGGTACTGGGAAAACTGACTAGCCCTATGCGGAAAACAAAAACCTCGGTTTTGAGAGTTAGCCAGCATAGGGCTAGGTTGCAATCTGTTGTGTATCTAGGTCCTCCAGGAGCCCACATAGAGCATAAGGGATTCTCGTCCCTGGAGTGACTTTAAAGCAGGCTAGTTCAATTGTGTTTTCCCCAGGGCTACCATGTATGATTGCATAGGTTGTGCACTGCACAAGTCCAGTGAGTACCCATGGACATGCTTTACTTTCATTACCTTATTTAAGCTTCACTAACAAACCATGAGGTAGGTAATACTTTCTCCTTTTATATAAAAGAAAAGTGACACTTAAAGAGTTAAGTAACTTGTCCTCCAGTGAGTAGATAATGAAGCTGGGATTTGAACTCAAACTACAGATCCAGCATCATACTGACTCCCAGGGAATGAATAAAGTGAGGTTTTTATTTGCTTTTAGTGGCAGTGGAAGAGAGTGTGTGAATCTTCCCTATGATAGCCCCTGTCCTTTCCTGCCAGGATCTGAAACTTGTTTGGAAAGCAAAGAATCCCTGCTCCACACAAGCTGTTTGATTCAAGATGCTCTGGGCCAGGAGTTTCTGCTGTGTTTACAGGCAGCAAGAGGGGATCTGAGGTGAACACTAGATTTGGCTCTCAGGCCCCGTCTGAGGGTAGAGGAAATTCAAAGTCGAAACGTCAATTGTATTAGGAGCCCATTTGGCACGCACACCCTCATTCTTTGAGCAGACAAGCAATACCCTGCTTCTTTGCAACTAGCCTCTTGTCAGTTGCCAAACAGAGCTGCTTGAGTTGTCTGATAAATTTACATTTTCCTTTCCTTTAAATACAAACTGGCCATGAAAGTTACTTGGAAAGCACCAGGCAGACTGGGTTTCAGTTTGATAACATGACAGCAGCCAGATTATTATTTGGCTCAGCAGTTTGGGTAACTGTTAGCGACAGTTTTATGTAAGGGAGTGAGAGGAAAGCTGATCAGCCTGCAAGAGGCCGTGGTAATCTCCAGCCCGTTGTTTGTTTCAGCACTGGCTTCTGGCTCCCTGGCAGTCAAGGACGGGAATGACTCCCATGAATGCACACAAACGCCATGAGTGTATGTGAGCGGGATTCTCAGGTGGTGCCTAGTGGACTCAGCCCATTTACAGTTGGAGAGGGGGAACCTGGATCCTGATTGTAACTCAGCCGATGCCAGCTGTGTCACCATGGGGGATTGAGTAACCTCTTTGAGTCCTGGTTTTCTCATCTGTAAAAGGTGAAACCTGCCTTTGATGTTCATTGCAGTCTTTCCTCCTGCCCTCAGTTCGGGTGATATTTCCTGAGTACCTACTAGGTGCCTGGCACTGTCCTAAGTGCTGAAGGCGCAGGAAAGAGTGCAGATGCAGTGAAGGATTGTTTCACAGCCTTGTGTGTGGATGTGGAATGAAAACGGGCAGTGACAACGCAGTGTGGCCAATGCTGTGAAGGGGGAACCTGAGCAGGGGCATGGAGCCCAGCAGTGGAAGGGACACTGAGAAGGGGCTCCTGCAGGAAACAGAGCCTGGGCTAAATTGCCAAAGAAGATGAGGTGTCAGGCAGCTGAACAAGCTACAAGGATAACGCTTTCTGAGATAGAGAATGCAGAGGTAGGAGGGGAGATCCATCTTACTGGTGATGGGGGAAGGGTCTTTAATGCCACCTTAAGGAGTTGGGACTTCAGCCTAAGGGACTGGGCGGGGGGGCTCCTGGTTCAGAGGGATTGGCATAATTGCTCAAATCACTCTGGCTGACATGTGGAGAGTGTACTGGAAAGAGGCACAGGAATGAAAACAGGAACATGATCAAGAAGCTGCATGGTGCCTCCACAAAGAGATGATGGTGGCCTGAGTGAAGGCAGGAGCCCTGGGGACAAAAGAGAACAGCTTCAGGAGGGGTGGGGAGAATGGGTATGACCTGGTCATTGCTTGGATGTAGAGGGAGAGGGATTGAGAATGGTGGTTTGGCAGTGCCTGGTATTTGGAGGCTAATAAATAATAAAGACCAATAAAGACTGATTGAAGACAACACCTTCACTGAAATCGGTCCCTACCTGGCTAATGATCCTTGCACACCTGGGAAACATGGGACTTGGGTTATCAATTCTACATGGTTGCTTGCAGGGAGATGGAGCTCCTTGTGGACTTAAGGTTTTTTTCAGCCTTTTGTTTCATTTTCCTATTCTTGATGGCATGTGTAGAATTTAAGGAAAATGCCTTCAGCAGAGGCAGGCGGAAGTGCTGAACTTGTTCTCTGTCTCACTTACATGTGAACTGAGATGAAATTCAAACCTTGCTCCTTCGGCTCTTCCTTTCTTCCACAGTGTTCTCAAAACTGTACTTCTCATCTAAATATGGTCCCCTTTTTCCTTATGCTTCAGGAACCAATTGATGTCTAAATATAGTGGTAGTCTTGTGATTTTAAATACTTCAAGGACCCACATGGGTGGTAATGGTGGTAGCAAACTGGCAAAAGAGCCCTGGTCACTCCTGTTTGAGGAACTTCACTTTCATCAACTTCATACATTGGGATTCCATGTATGATTTCCTTCATAAAGGTTTCAAAGCTTAAAAAAAATGGAAAGCTAAGAATCTCTGAACAAATAAAATATGCTATTGTAGGTAGGTAAATGAGGTTCAGAGAGAATACAAAAGTAGATAATTAGAGCCCAGTTTCTTAACTTCTGCATTGGTGATACTGCAATTATACAATGTGAGCCTATTTAGACAGTCTCTTGGAGAAAGTGGTGCCTGAAATACAGGCTGGTTTTTGGTAAGTAGAGAGAATGGTCTCAAGTTCCAGGAGGCTTACCTGGGAGGCATCACTGTCTTCACACTTGATCCTACACTCGCTGTTGAACTGGAAGCCATTAGTGCACTGGTAGAGCCCATGGAATTTTGGTGGAGGTGGGTCACAGGTCACAGGAACACAAGCTGCCTCCTGCCAGCTGCCATCATGGGTACACTGAGTCTTGAAGGCCCGTCTTCAAGGAAAGGATCAAAGAGGAGATATCTCAAGGACCAAATGGCTAGACCCACGCCCTGCATCAACACCACCGGCTGGCCCCCGCATTTCCTATCTCCTGTTTTAGATTTCCCACCTGACCTATTGGATGGAGGTTGGGCCTGTGCAGGGATTAAGGAGAATTCATCCACAGAACTCCTTCAGCAAGAGGAGGCAGACATGTCATGCTTCTGGTTATATGTGAATCGAGACAAAAACTCATGCGCTTCCAGCCCCTGGTTCTCTCCCCTTTTTTACAGAGTGTTCTGATGGGTGCAAGCACCATGATGCTATGAATATCCACCATTTACTGAACAACTATTATGTGCAAAGCACTTTGTAGCATTTTACGTGCACATCTTTATTTGTGCTTCACAACAATCTTTTGCGGTAATTGTTATTAGCATACCCCTCTTATTGCTTTTTTTTTTTTTTTAAGGAAGCCCAGAGAAGCCAAGTCACTTGTCTGAGATCACGTAGCCATTAGGCAGCCAAGCTAAAACTTAAAGTTTATTCTGTTTGACCCAAAACTAATATTAACAAATCCTTCTAGCTTCTCACAGAACAGAATGGGATGAATGGCAAGCATTGCCTCCAGTGAAGAAATGTGGTTCCATCCAGTCAGGCATTTGAACCTAACTCTTGTCCTCCCCAGAGCCCATGAGTTTGCACTTCCAACCCCACTTACTTCTTTGACTTCCGAGAGGATCCAGGCACATGGTATCCCGGTTTGCATTTGTATTTGCAGAAGGAGCCCACCTTGTGCTTACTCTCTCTGCACCGGGGTGTCTGGAGTTCTGCATTGGGCACGGGGGGTGGAGCGAGGCACATGAGGTCACACAGGGCCTCTGGGAAGGACCACAGCCCATCCTCCATGCAGGTCAGGAGGCTGTTGTTGCCTGGAGGACAGAGGGAAGCAGGGTTAGAGGAGGGAGGAGTCTCCGACAGATAAGCTAATGCATAGCTGCTTGGATTTTAGCTGACTTGAAGAACCAGGAGATCCCTTTTTTTTTTTTTTTTTTGAGACGGAGTTTCGCTCTTGTTACCCAGGCTGGAGTGCAATGGCGCAATCTCGGCTCACCACAACCTCCGCCCCCTGGGTTCAGGCAATTCTCCTGCCTCAGCCTCCTGAGTAGCTGGGATTACAGGCACGCGCCACCGTGCCCAGCTAATTTTTTGTAATTTTTAGTAGAGACGGGGTTTCACCATGTTGACCAGGATGGTCTCGATCTGTTGACCTCGTGATCCACCCGCCTCGGCCTCCCAAAGTGCTGGGATTACAGGCTTCAGGAGATCCCTTATATGGAATTCCAACTTCCTTCTACTTCCAACCGAGGAGCCTAGGGAGATGAAGACAGATGCTACAAAGAAGAGATCTAAATGGGGTGGGGGAGTGAATTATCCCCATGTCTACACTGAATTAAAATCCAAGGTTTCTGACTTATGATCCTGAGCCTCTTCTGCTGCATAAAAAGACACCTTCAGAATCCTTGAATCCACCTTTCTTGCTTCACAAGTGGGTATCTGAGCGCAGAGATGGAGGCACTTGCCTTCCAGTAGCTGGCAGCAAAAGCTCCTACAAGCAACTACAGCAAGCTCTGGTATCAGTGAGTGTATGACCTCAAGCTGCCACTCTCCCCCTGGGCCCAGCACGCCTGTGTTTGTCCTGCCTACCACCTCCCCCAGCTCCCACCACCAATGCCTGGAAATGACAGTATCGCGTTATCAGATTTGATTTTATGTTCAGGTCCTGGTGTTCAGTGAAGCTTTGCCAAAGCAGCTGAAAGAGCAGCACTTCCCCTGTAACCTGTGCCAGCTCTGACAGAGTGCTGACTGCCATCGGGAAGCTAGTCTGATGGGGAATGTTGCAAACAAAAGTAAAACATGGGAGTTGGGCTTTTCACTGCCAGCTCATATATTATCGATGCACGGCCTGCCTAAAACGTCCCCAAGACAACTAGAGGAGGACCTGAAACTTGTGCTTCTCCACCAAACTCTCTTTTTCCTGGTTATTACCGAATGGCATTGACAACCAAGGCTGGAAACGTGGGAGGCTGGGGACTTGCAGGTTGGAGGGGTGGAGTGGTAGGGAGAACACTGACATTTACGGAGTAGTTGCTATGTCGCAAGTGCTTCTGATATGCAATCTCATTTAGTTCCATCATAAACAGGGTATTCAGTATGGCAGTCCTCGTTTGGAAATGAAGACTCAGAGAAAGAGGTGACTTGACCAAGTGCTATTAGTTGGCAAAAGACAAAACTGAGGTTCAAAACAAATTCTAACCAGAGAGATGGTTGTTTTAGATGGGAAGTAGGCTACATGGGATCAGCAGAGTCCTTACTGTTCTTTCTAGAAGCATCAAGCCTCAGTTTTCCTATCTGTGGAAAGCAAACAGTGCTTCTGCATGTCAGGGTGCTGAGAACATGAAATGAAGCATTTACGAAAAGTGCCCACAAAAGTGTTGTCAATGTCTTCGTCTGTTTAACTTCTTCCCTTTTTCCCTCCTTTCCTTCCTTCACTTCGCCACTTCCTCTCACTTTCCTCCTTCTTTTCACCTTCATTAGTAGATCTGAAAGGATCATCACAGAAGTCTTCACTGATTCAACAAACATTATTTAGTGCTTATTCTGCATCAGATACTTTTACATGTTGAAGGCAAAGCGGTGACCAAAATAAAATAAAACCAAAGAGAAATATCTCTGCTCTCTTGGAGCTTATAATCTAGTGAGACATGGAGGAGTACAATAAGTTATCATAAAAAGAATATTATTTGGTGTGCTGGAAGGTGCCAAGTACTATGAGGAAAAAGCAGGAAAAGAAAGAAAGGGGAGAAATTTTATTTTATTTGCAATTTTAGGCAGGCTCCTCCACTTATCCTATTCCTTCTCATTTTTTTCATTTTTCTTCTTTGTCAGTATGATTCATCTGGTTAGCACAGGGAGACTGGTGTCTGTAAACCCTATAGGGATTCCACATTGATAAACTGTGATACTGACAACTATAAGTATCTTAACATCAAGTAAAAAGAGTACAGTGTGCAGAAAGGTGCTTCATTTGTTTTCCATAGAAACACAGAAGCATCCAGAATACCAGGGTCTACACACCCTTCTTTTTGCATTGCCCTTGTAATTGGGACAGTCACTGCTTTGGGGTGCCGGGGTAAAGCACAAGGTTAGTGAGGAGGGGAGCTGTATAAACACATTCTCTCCAAATTGCCCAAGAGAGATAAAATATCTGTGGAAAGGTATTGGGACTCTATAAAAGTACATTATATCAGCTACGTACACTGTAAATTATGAAGTGAAAGTCATGGTTCTTCTGCGACAAGAGAACATAAAGATTGCAAAATGTTAGTCAAGAGAGAAAATGCAAACCAGAAAAGTGATTTCTGGAAGAGGGCGAATAAAAGTTAGCAGTGTACTACAGCTAAAGCAGGCACTGGCAATTCAGGACCATGGATATGTCCCCCAACCCCGGCAACAAACTCCAAGAATTTTCAACTGGGCATTATTTCTGTGCACCAGCTGTAGCCACTACCCTGCATCTACCATGTGGCTTTGAAGAGAGTAGGGTATGATACATGATACTTTGCCCTTCCTTTATCTTCTTGGCACTGGCCTGTACACTGTGAAAGATGCTTACTGCACTGCCAACTCTCTGCCTGAGGCTTCTTACACCGGTCATGGATGCTTAGTCTGTCCATATGCAGGGCAAGTTTAAAGTACCAAGGAGTTAATGCCCCTGGAGGCAGCACGAAATCAGTGGTGGAGTTGCTAGATTCATGTGCCCGTTTCCAGAGTTGCAATAACTCTGAGGCATGTTCTCCACTGTCTCCCAGAGTTTCCCGGAGGGACTGAGCTCTAGCTGTCCACAGTGGCAACTGACTTTAGAAGAGAGCCTGTTAACTTTTGTTAATTCTATGTCTCCTGTCCTCATTCCCCCCACCGTATTTCCTGGGGGAACATGACTGAAGACACAAAGTGAAGGCATGTCTCAACCTGAAGCTCCTGGTAGAGGGTAACATCTCCTGGTAGAGGTGCTAATATTAGAGATTAGGTTCCAACAAGTTTTGGGACCCTATAAGTTCATTTGTTTATGTTTTAATGCAAAAAATACATCCTGCTCAGCCTGTCTACAAATGTGGCTAAGGAAATTCCAATCTCCAATGAGCATTAAAGTAATTGTCAACTTGTAGCAGTGTCAAAACAGACGTACTTATTTTTATTATTTCATTTGAAAGATTACCCAGAAGACTAAGTCTCTTTGGCAGTGCCTTAAAGATGGACATTAACATAGAACAGAACCCAAGGAGGGAAATGTCCTACCTTCAACCCGGTATTCTAAGCAGTTGCCTCATGGGGGTGGCACTTTCTAGATCATAAGGCAAGGGCTGTATCTTGTACATTCTCTACTCCCAGAGCCTAGCCTACTGCTGAGTACACAGTAGGTCCTCAGTATTCATTTGTTGAATGCATAAAGTATGGATTTAGCTTTGACCTTGAACAAATCACCTAACCGGTTGGTTTGTCCCTGCACCAAAGCTGTCTGTGAGTTCTTGACCATCTCTAGCATGTTAGAATGTGACAGAATATTGTTTGGAGAAAACAAAAATGCACTAGCTCAACTGGAATAAGGACAGGCACTCAATCAAGAAGCTGTATTAGCCAAGGGCTGGCACAGGAGATTGCATGGAATAGGGAAGTAGACTTGGTAAGGGGTAGACTTAACAGAAGTTACTGAGGAAGAAGACACATTAAGAAGGACAAGAGGTGCAAAGGGAGTGCCAGTTAGGGCAAGAACTGAAGGCAGAAAGGATTTCAGGTTGGTCATTATTATCATTATTATTTATTGGCTGTTTAAAATTAGTGCTTTTACTAGACATGGAATCAACCTAAATGCCTATCAATGATAGACTGGATAAAGAAAATGTGGTATATATACACCATGGAATACTATGTGGCCATAAAAAAGATGAGATCATATCCTCTGAGAGAACATGAATGGAGATGAAGGCCATTATCCTTAGAAAAGTAGTGCAGGAGCAAAAAAAGAAATACCTCATCTTCTCACTTACAAGTGAGAGCTAAATAACAAGAAGGCATGGACACACAGAGGAGAACAACAGGCCCTGGGGCCTATCACAGGGAGGAAGGTGGGAGGAGGTGGAAGATCAGGAAAAATGGCTAATGGGAATTAAGGCAGGCTTAACACCTGGGTGATAAAAGAAACTGTCCAATGAACCTCCATGACACAAATGTACCTATATAACAAACCTGCGCATGTACTCCTGAACTTAAAATAAAAGTTAAAGAAAAAACAACTATTGCTCTTTTTCAGAACACCGAACACCGCATGTTCTCACTCATAAGTGAGAACAGTGAGAACACATGGACACAGGGAGGGGAACATCACACACCGGGGCCTGTTGGGGGTGGAGTGGGGGGGCTAGGGGAGAGATAGCAGGGGGTGGGGGGATGGGGTGGGAGGATTGGGGAAGGATAGCATTAGGAGAAATGCCTAATGTAGATGACAGGGTGATGGATGCAGCAAACCACCACAGCATGTGTATAACTATGTAACAAACATGCACATTCTGCACATGTACCCCAGAACTTCAAGTATAATTTAAATGAAAACTATTGTTCTTTTTGCTTAAACCATGTTACGATAAAAGAAAAACAAAAGGTGGAAAGAAGGAAAGGGAAGCAATTAAAAGAAGAAAGTTGAAATTGATCACCTCTTTAATCCCCTAGCTTGAGATGGGGGTGGGAGGGCAGATTAGGTGGCAAGTCAAGTTCAAGAGAAAGGCTGCAGGACATTTGCCCAGTTCTTGCTGTTGGCAGATCCAAGCAGAAGCCTTAGCACAGGACTCCGAACACTAGATGATGCTGACAACCAAGCGGCATGACATGGCACTTGGTCCTGGCTGATCGATATGGAAGCAGAGAGATATGACCCTGTACGGTCAAGGAAAAGCAAAGTTGGGATCGCCAACCATCAAGATGATGGTCCTCCTAAGGCCTTGTCTCCACAGCCAGGTCACTCTTCCCCAGCCACAGCTGGCAGTGGAAGGATCTGCATCGTTTTGACTAAGCATTATTATTAGCCACAATGAGGGCTATAATAGTCAGTGCTAATGTATACGCCTCCCTTTTCCAAAGGCCTCTGACTGACTGACAGGAGTGTGATTTCATAGTCTGGAGTTAATACATTCCATGTCTAGTCCCAGCATTCTAGGACACCCAGGCCAGCTGCTCACTTTTCCCTAAAATATGATCTCTTCTCTGATATGCCAGACTCATTCCCCTCAATAGGTGCCTAGCTCAGGAGGATGCCAGATGCTTCCTGTCCATATCTGCTCTGTTAAGAGCTGGCCCCTCTTAACAAGTAGCAGCCAGCATTGGAGAAAGACAGACCTAGGTTTCAATGTGGTCCCCACCAATGATGGTGCAGCCTTGGGCAAGTTCTTTTTTTTTTTTTCTTTTGAGACGGAGTCTTGCTCTGTTTCCCAGGCTGGAGTGCAGTGGCACAATCTTGGTTCACTGCAACCTCTGCCTCCTGGGTTCAAGTGATTTTCCTGCCTCAGCCTCCCAAGTAGCTGGGACTATAGTTACGTGCCACCATCCCTGGCTAATTTTTTGTATTTTTAGTAGAGAGGGGGTTTCACCGTGTTAGCCAGGATGGTCTCGATCTCCTCACCTCGTGATCCGCCTGCCTTCACCTCCCAAAGCGCTAGGATTGTAGGCGTGAGCCACCACGCAAGTTCTAAACCCTCTAAGGCTTGGTTTCTTCATCTGTGAAATGGGAATAATAGTAACCCTTACCTCGTAAGGCTTACTGGCCCTAATCATACAAAGTGAATTAGTTGCATCAGCCCCAAATGAAACTCTTTTTTCTCTTCCTTCTTCCCTCCTTCCTTCACTTCTATCCTCTTTCTTTTCTTTTTTTGCAAGATTTCCAAGGTCTTAGAAAGGGCTTCACTGTCATAATTATCCACACTCTAGTTTTTCTTTCTCATCTGCGCAGCAGGGCAGTTTACATAAATACAATTGGTGGGAAGAGGTCAGGAGTATAGATTAAACCCCATCCCACCCTTGTGTTTGAGAGCCAGAAGGAGGGCCTGGGTGCAGGTTTCCCATAGACAAATGGGGGCTGAGCTGGGGAAGGGGCTCAAGATACCTTTCAGTTGTGCAGGATAACGACACTGGAAGGAACAATTACTGCCAAAGGTGGTGCCCTCAGGACAGGAGAAGGAGGCGGCGTAGATGTGATGGTGGTCTGGGAAGCCGCAGTCCACTGGCTCACAGGCCACCTGCTTATTCCACTTGCCCTCTGTACAGGTCACTGTGACGCTGGGTCCCATCTGAAAGGCAGAGGTATGCATAGTGAGGAGTGGTAGACCGAGCCCTAGATGTGGAGAAGTACCCTTCTTCCCAAGGTGACAGCTCAGAGTCCTGTCCAGGCACCAGGAGACCAATGCTTAGTGTTTCACATTAGCTCACTTGTAATGATCGCAATACCTGCATGAATTAGATACTCCAGTTTTCACTGAAAGACACAGAGACTGAGACGGAGAGACATTACATGATCAGCCTTAAGTTAACCAGCTGGAAAAAGGATGCGTTGGACGTGAGTCCAAAGGCTATGCTCTTAACTGCTGTCTATAGAGTCTTCCAGATCACAATTTCCATTTCATTGATGAGAATCTTGAGGTTTTGAGACCTCACAGGGCAGGACGATTTCTTTCACAAACAGACTGTGAAATACAGTTCAATGGTAAGATGTCGAGTGTTGATTTTTGTGTCTTTTCTTAGCTCTAGAGGAGTTACTAAGATCCTGTTGTAGTGCTTGGCACACAATAGGCACTCTCCATGGATATAGGAGACCTGGATGCTTTTCTTCCATGTTACCAGACCACAGCCAAGTCCCTTTTTTTACTTAAGTTCTCTCTTTGGCAAAATGGATGGATTGAACTCAAGAACTGCTCCAAGATTCACTCCCTACTCTGAGATTTGGTGGCTCAATAGTCAAGAGACAAAAGTACAAAGAAAAAACCTGGGAAAAATGAAAGAGTAAGTAGAGATTTTAACCAAACTACAAGATGGCAGAGCTGGTGCAGGGAAAGGCCATGCCGCAGAGCCAAGCGATGGACAATCATGGCAGCCTGGAGGCTTCCTAGGGACTGGAATTGCCAAATGCTGATCTTTTAAAAGCAAAGGACATTTTCCTTCTTAAGCACACATCAAAGGGATGCATGCTTGAGTGAGGTCCTTCACTGACAAAACCGTCGAATTGTTTCTACAGGAGTTCAGGCCTGCCATGTCTGCCACATGGAAGTAGGTGTCTAAGACAAGGAAGTCCAGAAGTTCTGTACAAACAGGTGCTCCCAGCAACAAGGAATGTGTCTTGTGTGCTTACAGTTTGAAGGCAAAAATCCATTGGCCACCCCAGGAAAAGGCTACATTTAGTGACAGAAATCCACAAATCCCCGGACAACCTGTGCCACTCCCCCATGCCCAACCTGAGACATTACAGCACCATCTGGCTGAAGCAACATTCTGCCACATCACTCCAAATCATTCACTACCACTAATCTCATGCAGGATGCATCCTGTCGTCCATGACCCCTTTGATGACTGTCTGAGGGGGTCTCCCTTCTACCATTCTCACTGCCGGACTCCAAGCTACACCCACATGGGTCTCTAGACTTTGCCAACCAGGATGTGCTCATGTCACTGCCTGCAACGGCTCCCTGTTGTCCTAAAGATAAACTCCACACTTTCTGACTAAACTGACAGGGCCCTGCACCAGTGGATCCAGCTGCCCCTTCCAGCCTCGTTGCTTGGGTGAATATAGAAAAAGAAAACAAAACAAAACAAAAACATCGGTGGCACTTTTATCATCAGTGGGATTCCATATTTGTCTGTGCCCAGTGCATGTATTTCTTCCTTCTCCCCAACACACACCCCTTCGCTGATCTGTCTAGTTATCTGTTTCCATGTCGCTTTTTCCAAGGTACCTCCCTTGAATCGCCCTGTGCCTCCACAACACCTTGCACTTCCCCTGACAGGCTTTATCACACAGTGGCACATTATTAATGAGGTGTTTGACTACCTCCACCACTAGGCACTCAGCTCCTTCAGAGAAGGGACTCGATTTATCTTAATGGCTTCTCTTTTTTTGAGATAGAGTCTTGCTCTGTCCCCAGGGTGGAGTGCATGATCTCGGCTCACCGCCTCCCGGATTTAAGTGATTTTCCTGCCTCAGCCTCCCAAGTAGCTGGAATTACAGGCACATGCCACCATGCCCAGCAAATTTTTGCATTTTTAGTAGAGACAGGGTTTCACCATGTTGGTCAGGAAGGTCTTGATCTCCTGACTTTATGATCTGCCTGCCTTGGCCTCCCAAAGTGCTGAGATTACAGGTATGAGCCACTGCACCAAGCCAATGGCTTCTTTTTCTTTAGCACCTAGAATAGCATCCAATTTCCTGTGAACAGATGCTTTGCAATGAATTAGTGAATGAATGAACATCTCACTGACCGACAGCTCATCTCGTCCTAAAGCAGCCCATTCAGTTTTGTCAGAGATCTGATTGTAAGATATTCATTCCAAAATAGCCCCATGGTCTTGGAGATTTGCAACCTATGCAAAAACACTGGTAAGTATTGTGTGGAACACTCCTCTGCACAGGAACCCGCTTTCTTAGAGATTCCAGACTGCTTGCTTGGTTAATTGATTCACTCACTCATTCATTTAATCAACAAGTATTTATTGAGCACCTACTACGTGGCAACACTATTTTAAGTGCTGCTGGGTATTTAGCAGACAACATGTTCAACACCCAGTATGCCTTCCCTGGGCTGCAGAGAGGCTCTAAGCTCAGCACCTGTGCATACCTGGCTCTTGATCAGCTCATCATCCCGCCGTATCTGGAGCACGTAGCCTGTCCAGCAGCTCACAGTACACTGGGTGCTATGGTAGCGGTCGCTGCTAGAGCAATTCAGAGAAGCATTCTCCACAGCCAGCTCTGGGCAGTCAGTGTCCTCACATGCGAAGTGCACGCAGCTGGGGAGGAAAGAAACAAGAGGGGAAGGAGTCTCTTCAGAGGACAGCCACACTCCAATTGGAAGATAAAGGCTAAAAGCCACTTTCTCCAAGATTTCAGGGGCCTTGAGACTGAGGACAGAAAGAGGTGCTGGCTCAGGTGAAGATGACTCTAGAGACAGTGATTAAAGTTTCTCATGAAGAGCACAAGTTATAGCAACAGACAAACCAGAGTTCAAATCTTGCCACTTAAAAGCTTTGTATGTTATCAAGATTTAAACCTTGCGCAACCTCAGTTTTTCCATTTGTGAGAAGGGGATCATCATGATTACAGTGAATATCTATTGCGTTTTTCTGCCAGGCACAAGGTTGAGCAAAAGCCTTTTTGTATTTTACAAGAATCATTTTGAGAATTAAATCAGAAAAAAGTGCATAGCAGAATTCCTGGAAGACACTAAGCACTCAATAAGAGGTAGCTGGGGTTATAAACACACCTACGCTCTATTACCTAGTTGGCAAGGTACATCCCATCTCTGAGCTTCAGTATGCTCTCAAATTTGGCCAACCTCATACAGCCTCAAGACTCAACTGAGGTGATGGATGTAGAAGACTTTTATACTGTAAAGTAACTTACAAATCATTAGTGGAATTGTACGGAGACTATGCCTTGCACCTTGCTGCAACTCTGAATTCTACCTTTCTGCCGGTCTGAATTCCACCCATTCTTTAGGTCCAAGCATCATGAAAACTTCTATAGGAAGTTTTCCCTTGCGTCCCTCAGCAAGCACCCTCATGGGCATTCTACCCTTCTTTCCTTAATGCCATTGCCTCATGTTCAATGTATTAAAAACTCAGTTCCTCGTTGCTGGTGGAACATACCAGATTGCAGGACGATCTTTAAGGATGCAAACAGAAACAGCATAATATCCCCATGCTTCGATGATCATTCCCTTTGTGTTATAGGTAAGCAAGCACTCAATAACATTAGTTAATATGAGCTGATTGCTTGTATACATGAGCTCACTCCATCCTACAACAACCCTATGAGCTAAGTGTTACTCATTTCACAGTTGGATAAATTGGGAACTGGCAAGATTAAGTTGCTTGCTTAAGTGCCCATCTAGATGGGTGACTCCGAAGGCCTCGTTACTAACCTCATCCCATGTTTCTGAACTAGAATGTCCATGAGGGCAGAGATAATGCCTATTTCATATTGGTGTACTGTGCAGTGCCAATAAAAATGCTTTGCAGATGTTTCCTAAATAGCAGAAAACAAATGGTGACGGTGCCTTGCAATAGCTCTTAAAGACCTTAAGGAGGCTGATTCTGTCTAACACTAAGAACTTCTAGGGGGCAGTTTTCTCTAACGTCTGCCTCTCTGACTGTGTCTACCGCCAACACCTGGCCTACAGTACGCACAGATTTGCATTCAGAACCTCAAGGCTTTTATGTTTCTGTTTTTAATCTAGGAGACAGGGAGACATTTTGGCCAAACCAGTGTCAGAAAAGGCTTGCAAGTTTTTTTTTTCTCTCTCTCTCAGTTTCATGATACCCAACCGAGGGTTTTATTGAGACCTATTCCTATTCTCTACTCACTACTCAAAAGTATAGTGAGAAGCAGAGTCTGGGGAGGTGGGGAGCTAAAAGCCTCCAAACCATATCACAAACCAATTTACTTTTTTGAGTACCCAGAAAAGAACGAGCATTTAATTTGGATCTCAGACTCTCACTGATGGGAGCTTTGCAATTCTCCAACACCCTCCTGAGATGCAGGGCAACTGGCGTTAAGGAACACTTGTTGAGACACTCCAATTCTCTGCCCTTTTTCTCTCTCCTGACAGCCTCAGCATTATACCACGTGGCGATCTCAAAGAGACTGTAGTCAACACAAGGGCTTTGACACCAAACAATGCATCTGCTCACATTGTGTAAGCACCAGGGGAACGAACTGCATGGTTCCAATTTAAATAGATTTCCTCTGTAAGCTACTAGCTCCCAAGCTGTTCTTCTGACCTGTGCCTAACAGTCTGGGCATTCTTACTCTGCACTCCCAGAAGGTACCTGGGCTCTTATGAAGACCCAGAGGGAAAGATGACTTTCTTCTTTAAGTTGCAGAGTCATTAAAGTATAAATAGCGCCCTCCCTGATTATTTTGTGCACATTAAAGTTCTTCTTCGTAGAAAATAAAAATCTGAAATGCTTCATTTTCTGAGGTAGAAGGAGCACAATGCGTATCAATCAGGGAAATCTGGGCTCCAGACCCAGCTCTGCCATTAATCAGTTGTTTGACCTTGGAAATTTATATAACATCCTGAACCTCAGTTGCCTTATCTGTAAAGTGGAAATAAGAAAATAACTTCTTTATTAGGATTGTCAAGAGAGTGAAACACCATTCACTCATTCATCTATTAACAGACCTCCCCTGGGGGCCTTACGGAGCACTGGACATTGTTCCATACACTGGGAATACAGTGACAGAGGGGATAAACAAGATGCCTGTTATCCTGTATATTTCAGGAGGGAGGATATGTGCCAAAGAAAAATAATAAATGAGATCATTTGAGATAACGATGCATGCAGTTAGGGCATTAAACCGAGCTGAAATTATAAAGAGTGACAGTTGGTGGGGAGGGGCAAGGCACTTTGCATAGAAGGATCCATGAAGAAGGGACATCTGAACTACTACCTGGATAAAATGAAAGGATAAGCCATACATAGGTTTGGGACAGAGGCAGAACCAGGCAGAGGGAGGAGCAGGTACAAAATTAAAGCACAGGTTGGAGCTTGGTGTGTTTATAAACTAGAAAGGCCAATGTATGGGAAATGCTTGGAGGTCGGGCACAGTGGCTCACACCTGTAATCCCAGCACTTTAGGAGGCCAAGCCATGAGGATCACTTGAGGTCAGGAGTTCAAGACCAGCCTGGCCAGCATAGTGAAACCCCATCTCTACTAAAAATAAAAAGAAATAGCTGCGAGTGATGGCACACACCTATAATCAATCCCAGCTACATGGGAAGCTGAGGCATGAGAATCACTTGAACCCGGGAGGCAGGGGTTGCAGGGAGACGAGATTGTACCACTGCGCTTTTGGGAACTATAAAGCTCCTTGAGAAGATGGGTCTCTCTACTCTGTCTCTTTTTGCTACAAAAGGAAAAATAGTCACTGATCTCATGTATCACCTGACCAAAAGATTTTATGGTCACATGAGTAAGGATAGCATTGAGTTTATGAAGCCAGTTCGTTTTCTTAGCTCCAGGGCTTCTCCATACTTTGGATAACCCATCGAGAATTTCCAGAAGGGGCTAAGGTAGGTACACACTATTTTTTAAACTCTGATAACCTTTTCTTCATGAGACATTTCTTAGGCCTTGTAGAATACGCTTCAGGGATTGAGGCATCCTGCTTGTTCAGCACATCTGTCTGCACCTGGCCCGCAGCTTGAAAACAGGAAGAAAAGGGATAAGGGAGGGGATCTGTGTCAGGCATTGGCCGCTGTGTTTCACCTACATCACCTCATTTGCATTCTATACGGCAGCTCCTGGAGGTAGTGATATTATTCCCATTTTCAAGAACAGGAAACTGGAACTAAGAGTTTTAAATTGCTTGCCCAAGGGCACTCAGCTTGGATAGAATTCCAGTGGAGATCTGCCAGTCTGTCCCCTGAGTCCCTGCTCTTTTTTCTTTGCTATCCTGTTGGTTGGAAAAGGTTGTGTGAACACACTGTCCAAAAACGATAAACATTACCCTGACTGACCCTCTCAAATAACTCTGTGACACAGCCCTGTCATTTCTGAAACACAAAAACAAAAAGCAAAACAAGGAAAACAAAGAAAAGGCTCTGCTGCTTCCTAAAAGGAAATGAGGGAAGGATTTAACACCGGTGATGGGCAACAAATAAAAATAACATAAGAAGGAAAAAATGAAGACACTTCTCTTAAGGAAGAAAGGTGGCTGATTTGATGGACGGGTGGGAAGGGATGCAGGTAATTCTATAGATCAAATCCTCACACCTGGGCAAAGGTGGAGGTTCCTGGGGTGCAGAGCTAATTAGATACTTAAATATCTTTTTCTTTTCTCCTTATCTGTATTTTTAATGTATTTACCTATGGACTCAAGTTCCATATACAGGTAAAACATTACCTGATCCAATAGCTAATCCCCCATTGCTGTCTCCATTGTCAATAAGAATGGTCTCCAGTCACTCATAAGAGAGGATACCTGGAGGGTGCTGGAACCCGGATAAAGCCAGAAGTCAGTGCTGACAAGCATTCCTCTCCTGGTTCTGTTCCTTGACTCACAGTGTAACTGCTGTGCCCTGCTACTTAGCTGCAATTATGCCATAGGGAAGCAGAGATAATAACAGAAAGGCTGTTTATAAATCATTCTGGGCTGCTCAAATGAGGATAAAAAAGACAAGTGCTCCACACTGGAAAATGGAGGAAAAACTGTTCGTGGCATGAGTTCTGCAAGATCACTTAGGAAGTGAAACTAAGAAAGAGCTACTATTCTAGGACCCCATTTTTCTACCCAGAAATACGGCAGCTGGGGGAATGATCCTAATGGGTTCTTTACCTTGGATTTCTAGCAGCCAGTATTGTGGTGTGGTAAGGAGGCAAGATTTTGAAGATTATGATGTAAGCTCAGGGGCCTGCAGAGTTCAGGCAAGCTGAGCTGGGTGTGCTGAGGGTAGGGGATGTGCCCGGCCAAAGAGCAGACTTTGCCCCAGTCCAAGGTTGCCCAGAGGGATGGAGGGCCTGATGCTTTCAAAGCTTCTCATTTCTTTAAAGAGTCCCAAGAAGTATTCTGTTTTTTAATATGAACTCTCCTGATATTTAAATGTTGGCAGCTAATTAAAGGAGATAACTAAGAAAGGCCAAAGAGAGGTTGTTTATGGACTAATATGGTCTGTGGAACACGAATATTGGAACCTCTGACGAAGAGGAAAGATAACTGGATTCCTGGGAACTAGATTCCAGGGCTGGTTTTGTCCCCAACTTGGGTGACTTTAGGCAAGTAACTTCCCTTCCTTGGACCTTAGATTTCCCATCCTCAAATTAGGGCACAGAGCCGGAAATCTATGAGAGCCCTCCCCAGCTTCAGGCCTCATGATTTTATGGGAACAAAACAACAGAGCTCTATAATTTCAGAACCCTTTGAAATGAGAAAAATAGGAAAAAGGAGTCTTTGGCAATCTCAAGCATTGCCAAGAATACAGAGTAACTAGAACTCTGGTGGGTCCCTGATGGGGCTGTGAATTGGACAGTATTTTGGAGAAGAGTCAGGCAGTATTCAGCACAGTCAAAGACACACATATGCTTAGTCACAGCAGTTCCATCTGCAGGTATATTCCCCAGACTAGGGATTCCCAACCAATGTGCTGAGAGGCACTAATTCCTTTGCGGGTTGGGGAAGCAGGATGAGGTTGTGGCAGCGGTCTGAGCAATCTGTGGTCTCTGGCCAAGAGCAGCTTCATTCTGTGTTCCAAATCCTGTATATGAATCCCTGTATCATCACCTAATGGGATATTCCACACATGGGGTCCCATCAGTGCACAGACTCTAGAAATGCCTGGCTCCAGTCTGTGGGTACCCAGACCCCCAACCAACAAACAACACTGAAGTTTTGCCTGGCTGAAAGAGTTAATCTAGCCATGTGAAGAACTTATTTACCTCCCAAAGCTGGCCTTCTAGAATTTATAATGAACTGTTCAATTTCTGTTTAGAACCACAAGGGTGGATGAATGTGATATGTGTGTATGTGTCATGTGTGTGTGAGTGTCATGTGTGTGTGTCGTGTGTGTGTGTGTAAGACAGATCCTGGAGCCACAATATCACCACTGTAGCTTTTCTCATTAAAGAAGCCTGTTCACCACCCTACACTCCACCACTATGCTCCTCTCCCCACCTTTTCTCCTTTCCACAACTTGGTGTGGAGCTCGGATTTGACTAGAATTCCACAGCTGGGCCTCTCCTTTGAAACCTGATCCTGTTTTCTTGGGTCTCTGAATTTATACCGAGTACTGCAAAGAGACTGGAGACCCCTGAAGCTAGAATGGAATACGTTGCCCAAACTGATTTTGTGGTAGTGCTCCTCCCAAGGCACCACAGCAGGCATCACGCTGCTCTCAGGGGGAGAGACAGAAAATGAGGAGGAGAAACAAGGTAGGAGAAGCAGAGAGAGAGAGAGAGGAGATGGAGAGCTGGGAGAAAAGGGACTGGGGAGAGAGGGAGAGATGCAGGGAGACCAGAAAAGGCTGTGGGAGGCAGGAGAAAAGGAGAGGGGAGAAACAACAGTACTTTTCCCTACCTGGGAACAGCTGAGAGTTAAGTGGGATGTTTCTGTTACAACCAGCTAAAATTCATGCTATAAAAAGTGATGCTATTTATTTTGGTGTTTGGGGAGTGATGGAAAACATCCCACGGCTCTTTACAGTTGCTGCTTATTTTTCCTTTCTTTCCTCCCTTGTTTGTTTGCTTTAATGCATTTGCGTGTTTGCAGAGTCCTGCTTGTTTTCTGAATGCCTCTTTAGCTCCCCATGAACAGCTGCTGTCCTTTCCCCACTGGGGCACTCAGGAGGAGGTGCTGCAGCCCTGCAGTCTCAGCCCTCAAGAAAGCAGCCTGTCCTAGCCTGATCCAAGCTCAGGAACAAGTCAGCCAAAGAGCTCAGAGCTGCAGCTCCATCCCCTCACTCGCAGTTCCACTGAGTAAATGCTCACATGGGTCCAGTTGTGAAAATTCCTCTGCTACTCACGCCTTGCTGTGGTGGGCAGAGCATGGCTTTCAGAGACAGACAAAGCAGGATTTTGCCTCTTACTGCCTGGATGGTCATGACACACACTCTGTTTCTCTGAGCTATACCTCCCAGAAAAGGTGCAATAATAAAACAAGACAATGTTCCTATCTATTGGGGATCGACAAGTGTTTGTACCTTGCTGTCCTCTCTCATTTTCCCAGCTCTTGGGAATCACAGACTGTTAAAACTGGAAAGAACCGCAGAGAATCCATGAGAACCACTATCATCATTTTAAAGATGGGGAAACTGAGGCCAGAGAAGGGGATGACTAATCCGAGGTAACATAATTAGTCACATACAGGTCAGCACTTTCCCTGCATTCAGTGTTCTTCCTACAACCAAAGAACTAACAAATACATATTGATCGATATGTTTTAGAGGTAAAATATTTCCTACTATTTACTTAGGGCCCAGGCGCCATTCATTGAGAGTTCAAACAAGTCAGTCCTGTCCTCGGTCAATGTATGGTTGATCAGGATGGTTGAATAAGAATGGGAAAGTCTTGTGGAAACGATCTGATGGATTTTCATTGACATCATTTCCCCAGGCTCTGAGAATTAACTTATTTTTATAGGGTCTGGAGAACAAGGGATAAAAACATCCTTTTAGAGTGAAATATGACGATGAGTTATATTTAAGACGCTCTTGCCTCCGAAAGATTGCGACAGACTTTGCACAACAGAAGCTGGAGACAGTAGGTGCTAAACAATGTGGATTTTGCAACCACCTTTTGTGTCCTCTGTGGTAACAGGGGCGTGGGAAAAGCTGGTGTCCCCCTCTTCCCATTTCTTTTCTTGCCCCCCAGGTATGAATCGACTTCCAGACAGCCTTACTCTTGGGGAGCCTACAAAAATCACAACTCTCTCTCCTTCTGGATCTCATTAAACAAATGTGAGAGACGCTGCGCAACTGTGCACAAGTTCTCCCCTTTCTGGGACCTGTGTTTCTCTACATGGGAACACAGAATTTGGACATGTCTGATGCATGAGATAATCTCTGAAGCTTTTTCCAGCTCTAACTTTCAGAACTCTACACAAAATTCTGTGCAGAGAAGCAGCACCATCATCATCAAAAGAAGATTATAAATATTCTCTTTTAATATGTTATATTTGCATAATGCCTAACAGTTCGCAGGAACACTTTCATCTACAGCACAACATTTAACCCTCACCACTACCCTGTGGAGTAGATTTGATCTGTTATTCCAAAATAGAAAACTATGACTCAGAAAACTGAAGTGACTTGACCAAGAACACACATTTAAGAAGTGGTATGGGCCGGGCGCGGTGGCTCACGCCTGTAATCCCAGCACTTTGGGACAGTGAGGCAGGTGGATCACGAGGTCAAGAGATCAAGACCATCCTGGTCAACATGGTGAAACCCCATCTCTACTAAAAATACAAAAAATTAGCTGAGCATGGTGGCGCACTCCTGTAGTCCCAGCTACTCGAGAGGCTGAGGCAGGAGAATTGCCTGAACCCAGGAGGCAGAGGTTGCGGTGAGCCGAGATTGTGCCGTTGCACTCCAGTCTGGGTAACAAGAGCGAAACTCCATCTCAAAAAAAAAAAAAAGAAGTGGTAATGTGGAGGTTCAAACCCAAGTAAGAGTATTCCCAAAGCTTGTATCCTTTTGGGGAAACTCCACTCCCTTGTAGCTCTAAACTGGATGTATTAGCAGATGCCAGCTCAAAAGCACTGAGGAAGTGATGTCACAGTCGAAAGTCAGGCTCTTAGACCACTCGTGAGGTCATAGGAGCTAGGCTTGTGGAAGACAGAGAGATTTCACCTATCCCTGATGCACACGGTGAACCAGGGTGATACAAATACCAGCCTCACTCTATCCCCCTTGGTTAGGAGGGTTATGCCTCCCGCCTGTGCCACCTAGGAAGCAGAATATTCCAGTATTTCAGAGATAAGGGAGAGCTAATCCTCTTTTTGTTCCGATGAGGACATTGAGGCTCAGAGAAGGAAACTGATGTTTCCAGGGTCACCCTGCAAGCTATTGTCAAGTCTGCCGCTGCAAGCCAGGTGAGGAGGTTCTTTTTTTACCACACCATACAACCCTGTTTCCCTCCATTGCCCCAGGAATTTAGAGACGCATGGGCCTCTCAAGCCCAAAGGCAGAGCTGGCCAGAGGATGGATGGAGAAGGGAGAAATGCACAGACTTTTTACAGCCACACAAATGGCTACCCAGCTTCAAAATCACATTGTCTCCACTTGGCTACAAATGGCCTGGGACAAGAAGGCCGTGGGTCCCTTACCTCTGCTCAGCAGGGCTGTAGGTCTCCCCTCTCTCGCAGCTGCTCAGGGTGACGGGGTCAAAGTTGTCGAAGGAGCGGAGGGCCACCCCCGAGATGGCGACCAGGGGCGAACTGAAGCTCACATGTACCGCCTGGCTGTGGTAGAAGGGCTGGCTGAGGTCATGGACCACAGGGATAATCAGGGGATTGTTCCTGCAGCTCAGGACATGGAAGCCTGTCAAGGGAGACAGAGAGGCGGAGGGGCCAGGCTCATTACTCAAGGCCAATCCCGCCCTCCCCAACAGGCCCTTCCCAAAGCCCCCAGACCCTTTCATGTCACTGCACAAAAGCACCATTGGGCAGCCGGTGAGGATTCTGAGTCTGATGGAAAGTTTCTTTGTCTGCCTTTTTCCCTTGGTTCCAAATCTTTCCAATCCCCCTGCCTCCCTGCCCCCTAAGCTTCCCCTTCACCTACTGCCCAAAGTCCCTCTCCCTCCCCCAAATGGCCATCCCTCAGCCAAGCAACCCAGGCTCTCACCTCCCTCCCACATTGCTGTAGGGCTCGTTGGTCTGAGTTGCTGGGTTTTAGGCTGCCTGCCTGGTCAGTTGGAAAAGTGACAGAAATAATTCATAGCAACAGGCACTTCCCAGGATAAAAAGCCCACTCTCCTAAGTCATCTGTGAACCAGAAAGCAGCCCTGAAGGGGGAAGGGCCTCTTGCTTAGTCTGCAGAGGAAGCTGAGAACCGTGGGCAGGGGCGGCTTTCCACAGGAGCACGGCCCAGGCATGACTCAAACTCTGAAGGAGGATCTGAGCTTGCCTCACTCGAGAGTCCGTCCTCAGGTTTTTGTAAGGCAGGCAGCAGGTTCCTGTTCTCCAAGAAGGAAGAGGGAGGGCCAGGGAGAAAAGATACACTGAGGGACAAAAGGAAAGGAAGGCCGTGGCAGGATGGAGTTGGCAAAACGGAAGCTGGCTTCGGTGCTGCGTGGACCTGAGTCTAAATGCTGATGTAGTCCCTTCCTACTAATGGGACTCCAGGTAGCCCCTAAAACTCAGTTTTCACATCCAAAAAATGGCATAAACCTAACTGGGTCCTGGCAGGCTTGCTATGGAAGGAGAAGTCTTCCTTGCTATGGAAGGAAGCCTGAAGCAGATGCCCTTCTCAGTTCCAGAGGTGAAGACGCCTCAGAATGCTGGGATACTGTGAACTGGAAAAGATGGTGATGGGGCGGGGGTGAAGGGGAAAAACAGAAGAGCCTCAGGCATCAGTAGCAGGATCCAAAGAGGGTCTGTGGGACCAGACTTTTCCCCACTCTGCTGAAAAACCTCTCCTCAGAGCCCTGGGCCATGCCACAACGACTACAAAAATACTTGTTTCTCACTTAGGGAAATTTCCTAGGAATCCTGCTAAGTCCAGAGGGGTGTCCTTTCTCTTCCTTATTCATATGTTTCCCTTGCCTTTAAAACCAACTCAGTAATTAAGCATAACAACAAAACAAGAAATCCTTCCCTGTTCCCTTGGCTTTGTTCTGACCCTGAAATGACCCCTTGACTGCTTGCTTCATAAGGGTCTTTGAAAAGCATTCTCTGCGGGATGGTGTGGGCACGGTTTTGAAGTCCAGGCTTCAGTACTGGCCAAGAATTCCAAATGCTTGGAGTAGCCAGGCTGCCCAGAGCTCTCCAGGGTAGATTGGAAATGGGCAGGTGTCATAGGAAATATGTCTTAGGGTCTGATTTTGTGCTAGGCTTGGTTACAACAGCATCAAATAATAGCACACTCCGACTCTAACATTGTCCTTGCTGTGTAGATGAAGCAAACGAGGCTCTAAGTGACATGCTGTGAGGACAGGAAGCTTGCTCACCTTCTCAAAGTGAGTAAGTGGTGGGACAGGATTCAAACCTCAGCCGTCAGCTCTGGATTCAGGCCCTCTCCTCAGAACCACAGTGCATGTGGGTATGCAAAGGGGTGGTACAAGTGACAAGTCCAGCCCTTGTTCTCCCCCTTGGCCCTGCACTCAGGCAGTTGGTAGAACCTGACTGATGCCTCAACTGCCTCCTTACTCCTACAACGTTTCTATTCCTATTCCCACTGGGAACTTCTCCAGAGGTTGTAACTGGTGATACAGTCCCCACTTGGGGTGGAGGTCGTGAATGCTCCAGGTTATAGGGTAAAAGGCAATAGGCTATGACAACCTAACTAGTCATTCCTGACCTACCGTGTGACCTGGGGTCTCTCAGTGCCTCTCCTTGGGTGTCAGGTGCTGACACGTACAACGGGGAAATGGCTTTTACTCAGTCTTGCTCCTTCTCAGGGTCTTTGGGGAATCATATGGGATGCCTGAGGTTAAAGGTGGCTGGCAGAAGGGAGTGCTTGGCCATTGGCCCCTTATCCCCGTCTCTGCCAGATCTAGATTTCTCTGGATATATAACCATATCTTGATGTGGGGGCAACCAGAATGCCAAATAGAAAAGAGGCAAGAAAAAGGACAGAGGAAGGAAGAGCTCATTCTAAGCTGATCCTCACAACTAGTTATGGGGCAGAGGTGAAAGCAAGTACCGAGAGCAAGCCAAACCCAAGAGGGCATGCTTACCCAGATCGTGGCTCTGATCTTTGGTATCAAGCAGCTGCACACTGATGGTCTCCTGCCTTTGGTCCCCATAATATGTCCCATCTGTCACCAGGTGGACAATGACAGCTGCGGCAACCATTGGCTGAGAAAAATATGCCTGAAATTGAGAAGACACAGGAGGGTCAGATGTGCCCTCAGTCACGTGATGGGGAGGCAGCCACATTGGAATGCATTTGTAGAGAAACTTCCTTTTTAAGAACTGGGCTACTACTTGTCAGGGGTCCAAGATTGGAAGGAAGAGGCAAAGAAACCGAACAGTGAAGAGCACGGGCTTTGAGGTTAGAAACCCAATTTCAATCTTTGCTCTGCTCCTACTTAGCTGTGTGATACCGAGTGAATGGCTGGGCCACACTGGGTCTAAGTTCCATCATTTCTAAATGCTGGATTTAAAACAAACAAACAAGGGCCGGGCGTGGTGGCTCAAGCCTGTAATCCCAGCAGTTGGGGAGGCCGAGGCGGGTGGATCACGAGGTCAAGAGATCGACTATCCTGGTCAACATGGTGAAACCCCATCTCTACTAGAAATACAAAAAATTAGCTGGGCATGGGGGCGTGTGCCTGTAATCCCAGCTACTCAGGAGGCTGAGGCAGGAGAATTGCCTGAACCCAGGAGGCGGAGGTTGCGGTGAGCTGAGATCACGCCATTGCACTCCAGCCTGGGTAACAAGAGCGAAACTCCGTCTCAAAAAAAATAAAATAAAATGAAAAAACAAACAAAAAACCAAGCCAGGCACAGTGACTCAAGCCTGTAATCCCAGCACTTTGAGAGGCCGAGGCAGACAGATCACGAGGTCAGGAGATCAAGACCAACCTGGCTAACATGGCGAAACCCCATCTCTACTAAAAATACAAAAAATTAGCTAGGCATGGTGACACATGCCTGTAGTTCCAGCTACTTGGGAAGCTGAGGCAGGAAAATTGCTTGAATCCAGGAGGCAGAGGTTGTAGTGAACCAAGATCGTGCCATTGCACTCCAGCCTGAACAACAAAGCGAGACTCTGTTTCAAAAAAAAAACAAACCAGGTAAATCACAGGATTGCTGTGAGGTTCCAGTAAGATAATGAGAGCAAAGTGTGTAGCAAAGGTCCTGATGCACACTAAAACCCACAAAAAAACATGGCATGCATGATTATCTGTCACTTCTCCATGTCAATCTCTGCACTCAGCATTGAGGACAGAAAGCTAAATAAGATATGGCCTTTGCATTTTGGGGAATTCAAAGTAGGTCGGTGACGTGTAAAGCAAAATGCAATAATATCCACAATCTTAACCAGAAAGAAAGACCGCGGACAGCTCTGTAATGCCATGTGACAAGTGCCATCCAACAAGCGACCTCACATGTGCAGGACAAGAAGGAAGATAATGGTCACATCTTCCTGTAGTGATCAGTAAAGCCTTCACAAAGGAAAAGATCATTTTAAAGGATCTTGAACAATGAATAGGAGGTTCCAGGCAGACAAGATACATCCAAACTCTTTGCTAAAACAAGAGCTCAGTGGGGGCATTCCATGAGCAATTAGGATTCCATTTCAGTAAGCATCACACTGCTAAGTGTTTTGTTTCCTGTTCTTACAATTAACACCCTCAGCAGGTAGACAACCCATCTTCAGAAAGGGTCATGGGAGTCAGTGTTTTCTGTGGCTCACTGCCTGAGATTCCAAAGCTCTCCGAGCTTCAGCTTACCTGGAGCCAAAAAGTGTTCAGAGCCAGTTGGGAATACAGGTAGCTGATGGTGCAAGGATACCAGGCATGCTGGGAAATGCCTTCACTGAGATCTATCACCTTGGTTCGACATACCTGGAAAAAGATAGACCAAAAAAAATCATGTTTTAGAGAGTATCAGAAGTTCAACTTTAATCTATTTTACAAACCTGTATTGTTCACCTATTTTGCTCTTGGCACCACAGGGAAAAACAGGGAGGAAAAGGCCAGAATCTGGTTCAGAAGCTCACATTCTATTGTAGAAGAGGTAATCCTTAATGCTGTTAAGGATATAATAGATAACATACTTTGATGGTAGAGATGTCAGAGATATTCTCACAGAGACACATCCTGGAGGAGTGGATACTTGAGTTGGGCCTGGAAGAGTAGCACAGTGATAAGAGGAAGGGCATTGCAGGCAGAGGGAGCAGAAGCCAGGCTCAGAGGAAAGCAGAAACCCAGAATGCTGAGGTTGTGATAAAATGCCTGTTAGTACTAAGCCTTAGGGACAGTGGCAGAAAAGGTGGGTGGAGGAATTAGATCTCATAGAATCTTGAATGTCAAGTAGACGATTTTAGAACAAATCTGTAAATTGTGCTCCGAGTGATGTTACAACAGAGAAAAGACTGTGAAAACATTAGCATTTGCTTCCCCAGCAACAAAGAAAATCAGTTCCAAAACTTTATACGCATACACACAAATTCATTCTCAATGATAGATAATACCAAGTAGTATTAAAAGAAAAAGGAAACATATATAGACAAGCAGAATCCTTCAAACTGAGGAGTTTCTTGCATACTCAAATGTCATTTCATTTATTGGTTCATTCATTCATTTGAACGATATTTACTGAGTAACTATGGCTTGTCAAACACTATAGGACAAAATGGTAGAGAAGACATGCTGAAGAGCTTAGAGCAGGCAATTTGTGCAGACATTAGCCAAGAAATTACAAATGCATATATAAACATAAACAGTGCAATAAGGGAATAGAAACAGCTGAGCAGTCCTTGAAATTCGTGAGACCTTTGGTAGAAGGGCATCCCAAATTGGTACTTCTCCTCTGCTCTCTAACGTGGCTCCTCTCTTAAAATCTCCCTGTGAGTTTGGGCCTGTCATTTCATATCATCTCAGTGCATTCTACTCATCTGAAAAGTAAGGCTGACCTGGAAAGCTCTGAGCATCTCATATGCTATTGAAAAAAAGTGATATATCCTCAACAAGATTAAACAAACATAAACACCTAAAACAAGCAAAAACAAAAGAAAAAATGGATATACAACAAGGATTAAAAATATCCATTTCTGCAACAAGTATAGTAGGAAAAGATCGGAGATAGTCTATATGTTCTCCTGTTGGAGGAGAAATGTATAAAATAGAAAATAGTCACATGGTGGAATTCTATATGGCAAAGGAACAGTAAGAAAAATGAACTGTATTCATATACAAGGATGATATAAAAATATTTTAACGCTTGGCTCAGTATGGTCCCTAGTCAAATGAAAAGGAAGCCCTAATGGTGAGTTCATAGACATCCATGTGGAGAGATCGCAATGCATAACACGGAGTGCAAAAACAGCAACAAGGTGCAAATGGTTAAGTACATTATGATGTCATTCATAAAAATAACACAAAGCAAAACTATATATTGCCCAGCGGTTCATGTGAATTAAAAATAGAGTAGAGAAGCATACATCAAATTCAGGGTGGTAGTTGCCTCTGTGTATCAAGGAAGGGGAATGACACGGTGAGTCAGGATTAAAAAAAGGACCTCAGTCTTATTTGTGGTGTGTGATTTTTCTTACAGAAAGAGACATGAAGCAAATATGACAAAACGTATAGTTGTCAATTGCAGGTAGTGCATATACCTGTTATACACAGGTGTTTCTGATTTATATCATCCTATGCAATTTTATAAATTTTTTTAAAAATCCAAATTGTTGGCCAGGCACGGTGGCTCAAGCCTGTAATCCCAGCACTTTGGGAGGCGGAGGCAGGTGAATCACAAGGTCAACAGATCGAGACCATCCTGGTCAACATGGTGAGACCCCGTCTCTACTAAAAATACAAAAAATTTGCTGGGCATGGTGGCGCATGCCTGTAATCCCAGCCACTCGGGAGGCTGAGGCAGGAGAATTGCCTAAACCCAGGAGGTGGAGGTTGCAGTGAGCCGAGATCGTGCCATTGTACTTCAGCCTGGGTAACAAGAGCGAAACTCCGTCTCAAAAAAAAAAAAAAAAAATCCAAATTGTTAGCTTAGAAAGCCATTGAAAATAGATATAAAACCATCAACATCAGTTTTCCTAACAACGTGTTCAGAACAATGGGCTCCCATGAACTGGACCAGGTCTGACTTTTCTATGACAGCCCATCCTTCTTACTCCTGACATCGTCTTGCTGAGAACTCCACCTATATTCTATGCAATATTCCATCCCCGAAATCACATCTATAAATTTGTGCAAATTCAAATGCCTCTCTTTCCAGAACTTCTTGCAATAGTTCTGGCTTCGAGGAGCTCCTGGAAAATGCCAAATTTCAATTCTCTTTAAAATGATGAGACACGAATCAAAGCATGTGGTTACATTGTGATCTGTGGTTGCAAGCTCTAATACTTTTATTTTTAAATAAACCTTTTGTTGAAGTAACATCATATTTATAGTAACATTACAAAGATAATGCAGATTATTTTGTATACCCTCACTCAGTCTCTCTTCCTGTTAACATCTTCATCAATTCATTCTGGAAACCTCCAACAAGAAGCTTTGGAGAATTGCATTATGTCACTCAGGAAGTTGTCCAGTGGTGAGCTGGCTTTGGATTAAGGAAATCTGGTTCTAGTCCATGCTCGCCCAAAATGTGGTGTGCAATTGTGAACACATTATCTTGCCTTTTGGCCCTTAGTTTACCTTGCACATCTGAATGTTGGGTTAGACAACAAGTTTTCATGTTTTTCAGGGATTCTTGGGATTCCACGGAGAAGCTGGCTGGGGGTTCATGATGTAGAGAAGATCTGCTTAGCTTCCACTCTACTATTTCAAATAGAGCACCTCTACTCACCTATTTTACATATCAAGCTGCCTTTTTTAAAAATAATATTTAAGAAAAGAGTTTCATTGCTTTGAAAACATCAGAAAGTACTGAAATGTGTTGGCTGCCAAAGTTCCCCTCACCCCGCTCTAGGAACTGATGGGTTCTGAGAGCACAATATTAATTATCTGAATATTACTGGTAACTTTTTGAGAATCAACATGCCATGAATCGACCGTCCTACTGCTAGGAATTAAGGGATGGCTCCAGTTATTCAAATCTCTAGGAGCCTCACACTTCAATGTGCTGGAAGACCTTTTTAAGTTTATTTATTTTTCTCAAAAACAACTGGGACCGAGTTTGAGCAGATCTGCCAGTGGATTCTGTTACACTTTACAACAGTGCAAGACTTTGCATAAACTATCTATGGAATTTGAAATCCAGGCCAGCAATTCGACACGTATCATTTTGGAATTCTTTCCCCTTGTGTTCTTAGCTGCCTGTCTCCCAGCAGAGCTTGGTGAAGGACATCTCTGAAGGCTGGATTGGGGGTCTTATGTCTGCATCTGAAGCATTTATAGCTAGAGGAGTCTCTGACATAAACAAAGCCCTCTTATTGCTTAAATACTATTTCCTCTTAGCTTGTCAGTTCTATTAGCACTAGACAGGGTTTTAGAGGAACATACTATTATTTTATTCTTCTGTTTTCCTGTTTTGTTTTGTTTGTTTCAAGTTGGCTGCAATCCTGACCAAGGACAGTCAAAGCAGATCAGAGAAGAATGAACAAATCCAACTGAACCTTTGCCCAAAGCCCTAGTTGATCTGAAAATCATCTGTGTTCCTGGGGAAGTAGAAGGAGGCTAGAGAGGAAGAGAGAGGCGAATCCTTACAAGCCTCCTGCTTTCATAGACATTGTGTGAATCTGCTCATTCGGCAGCCTAAATGGCATGTGGCATGCCAGGTTTCAGAGAACTGAAAACAAAAGAGCCTTGCCCATCACACTATGTTGGTCACTAAACATACAAGTATGAACCCCAAGGTGACTGATTTTATGGGGATGCTCTGTTTTCATCGACCTGTGTGTTTTTTTTTTCTACCTTCCAAAAAGGCAAATCTAACTCCATAAAGCATCGCTGAGCAATGTGGACTTTACTGAACATTTTGGAAGAAGACATGCAGGACAGTTCCATCACACATTCCAGGGGCCTCTTTAGCTCTCCCTACCATCACTCCCAAGCTCCTCTTCACTCATCATCTCGCCTCCTCCAGTTCCTTCAGTGACACTGGCTCCAGTGACATTCCTAATCTTCCTCAACCTTTTCCCCCTTCCCAATCTGCACATTTCTTACACCCCATGCAGAGCCATACTGTTTTCCCTTCTATCCCCAACTCTTACACCACAAATCCTTCCAGTGATGCTGAGGTTCTTCCCAGCCTTCCAACCCAATAGATGACAGGAAGATGAGCACTTCCCCTTTCTGCCACACTGGTATGAACAAGACCTGCTCCCTTCCTTCACATTGCTCCCTGTATTGTGGAACACATCAGCAGTGCTCTAGAAACACTGGCAGCCTTCAGGCTTTGGGTTTCCCTAGGGAAACTAAAAGGGAGATAAGGAGAGATTCTATGGAGCTGAAATATGTTTTTCCCTCCTGCCCTGTCCCATGTTTACTGCAGTATTATTCATGATAAAGAAGATGTGGTAACAACCTACACGTCCATCAACAGAAGAATGGATGAAGAAAATGAAATATTATTTGGCCTTAAAAAAGGAAATTCTGCAATCTGCAATAAGAAGAATTGACTTTGAGAACATTATGCTAAGTTAAATAAGCCAGTCATGGAAAACAAATACTGCATTAGCTCACTTAATACGAAGTATCTAAAATAATCAAATTCATAGAACCAAAGATGAAATGAATGGTGGTTGCTAAGGGATGGGGGAAAGGAAAAGGGATCAGTTACTAATCAATAGGCATAAGGTTTCAGTTAAGCAGGACAAGTAAGTTCTAGAACTCGGCTGTAAAACATTGTTCCTATAGTGAACAATACCGTACCATACCCTTAA